TATATATATAACCACCAGAGATAAGTAGATGTACAGTTAAACTGTAGGGTGACAGTGACCTTGAGAGTGTACACCATCTTCTTTCCAGTATGTATTATACCAGGGTAATATATATAACCACCAGAGATAAGTAGATGTACAGTTTTACTGTAGAGTGTCAGTGACCTTGAGAGTGTATACCTATATAACCACCAGAGATAAGTAGAGGTACAGTTTAACTGTAGGGTGACAGTGACCTTGAGAGTGTACAACATCTTCTATCCAGTATGTTTTATACCAGGGTATATATATATAACCACCAGAGATAAGTAGATATACAGTTTTACTGTAGGGTGACAGTGACCTTGAGAGTGTACACCATCTTCTATCCCGTATGTATTATACCAGGGTAATATATATAACCACCAGAGATAAGTAGATGTACAGTTTTACTGTAGGGTGACAGTGACCTTGAAAGTGTATACCTATATAACCACCAGAGATAAGTAGATGTACAGTTTTACTGTAGAGTGTCAGTGACCTTGAGAGTGTACACCATCTTTTATATATCCAGTATGTATTTACCAGGGTATATATAACCTAAACCACCGAGATAAGTAGAGGTGTACAGAATACACACTACATGGCAGTCTTACCGCTGGATTCACTATGTTTCTCCACATGCATTGGGGGAAATAGGCACTCAGGAATAACGACTATATATACATGTACACCGGAACAAGCAAAACCAGTGGAATGACTGTGTAAAATATGGATTGTTATAAGCACAGATTTGTTTCAATTATTACACAATCTATGCCTATGTCGACTTTCCCTCTTACCAAAGTTACAAAGATCTGCATTACTAATAAAAATTGGAATCAATCTCCTCATAGCTATTTACACAGATATAGACTAGTATTTTTCAAGAAACTGATATTCAGAATGACCTGAAGGTGTTAACTTTACATATTTAATATGAGGAACTAAAACTTATTCTTTCATAGAACATCTTTAACTTTCCAGCAGTCTCTCGGAGAGGAGAATTGTTTGGCAATCACATTTGTTTAAGCCTTCATAACAAAATTATTCCAGATATGAAAAATTAAGTTTTGGTGCTACAGATTTACATTATGTCTTTATATTAATCACTGCCCTAATTAAATGTTACCCAAGAAGAGACCAATTAAAAATTTAATATCACAGTTAGTTCCATGGGTTACAAAACTAGTTTTTTGTTACACTACAAGAATAGAATAATGGATCATGAATTATAGACCTCTCCTTTTCTTAGTTAAACCCTGAGGGACTTGCAACTCGGTGAAAGGGGATGGTAACTCTTTGATTACTAAGGAAGCAGATATATTTTGAAAAGTCACCTGCTTGCTTATATATATACTGTACATGCTGCACACTTCCGAGGTTAAAGAGAACAGCATAGCTTGTGGAAAGAGCAAGGTTGGAAGACATCTAGAATGTGGAAGATGCAACTATGAGAATTACTATTTAACCAAGATTTATTAAGCTTTTTTTTTCTTTTCTTTTTATGTAGTGTAGAAAGGTCACAAATTATTCATTTTGAGTATTAAGTATGTCCTTTTCAAATACATGACCTGTTCAGTGGCCAAAAAAAATCCCCTCTTAAATACATAGATTGAAATTACTCAAGATATTGTATACTGATGATCATAACATGACCGCCTTTATATGGTAGGTACTTCCTGGAAGTTTGGCTGCCAAATGTGGATTACAACAAGGGGACATAATCCTCAAGATTGGCAACAGCGATGCCAATATAATGAAACATAAAGATGCCCAGGGGGCCATCATGGGGAGTGGCAACAAACTGGACTTGCTGCTGCAGAGGTTAGTATATATCACCCTGTTTTAGTTACCCTTTGTAAACCCTTCAAACATGCCCCTTTTTGACAATATTGTATTTCTCACAAGGAGGAAGCTATGTGCGACCGAATACAAATGGAGTTAAGCAAGAAATTGGAAAAACAAACTTTTTAGAGATTGTTAATACAGTAGCAGTGATTATTATGATTTCTTCTTGTTAAAATATTCGCTTAAAAAGTAAATTTACGCGATGTCTTATTCAAGTAGACAAGAAGATGATGGTTCATCATTAGTGGCTAAAAACATTTGTAATTTGGGAAACTTTTAGCAATGAATGTTAAGTTGAATTCAAATGTAAACCAGCCTTTTGTAGCTGGGTAGCTTGTCGGTGTTCAGTTTAACTGTGGTATCTTTGGCGCCCCTATTTGTGGTTTGACAGTATATGGCATCTGCTATCTTTGTAACAGCCCCACCCCGATGATGGAGTGTTTGCAGTGAGATTTGTTGTGTAAGACCATCACTTGTGTTGTGTTTCCCCGTCCATTACTTATATTCGTCATTGTGTTAATTTCCATCACTGTAAATCAGGACCCCCTTATGTTGAACACTTTTGATGTTGTTCCGTTGGATGCCTTTGTAGTCATAATTGCAGCAGTACTCTTTCTTACTTAATTGTTTCCTAAATGTAAACGTCACTTCTTAGAAAACAAGTATTTTAACAGAATGATGCCTGAAGTACACTCAAGGACAACCTCCTGTTGGGTTTGATCTGACTTGACAACAGGAACTTGTACCTCTTTAAGTGCATCAGATATATATATATATAGCTGTTTCTTCAGGAATACAAGGCACAATGTGTACACACCTCAGGAAAGTTCTACTTAGTCAAGGTTTCAGTCAGGATGAAGTGGTGATACTTGTGAATAAGGAAATAAGGTTTCTACTAGATGGATCAGTTTGTAAAACACTAACTGATTGTTTTGTGATATATTGGGAATGCTGCAAAGGTTAACAGAAAGATTGAAATATATTTAGGATACTCATACAACCCAACCCCCCAACCCCCATTACAATAATACTATAATACAAACCAAGGGGTTTTATTATCAGATATCTTCTTTACAAAGAATTTCAATCAACACATTGAAAAAAATATTATTAGACTATTTGGGATTTTTGGCATTTGATGAAAATTTCCTGTGTTTTTTGCTAAGTAAGAAAGTTTTTCCATATCAGCAATTTATTTTTGGGGTAAATTTTGTGAATACTTTTGGTGTATAAATTTGAATCTGATAGAATCCAGAACCAGCAGAAACCATTTATCCCCTGTGTAGGACCAGGCCAGAGGTGGTACGGCACCAGACCTGTGTAAGTGGTATATTGTTAGTGGTATCCGAGAGTGAACAGTCCTATACACAAACTGTTGTTAGGTGTTCTGGTCCATACGGCTATCAGTTTCTGTGTAGTTCATGATCAGTATTTAGGTACTGATCAGACTTGTAAACCATTGTTAATAGATGTACGTCTTGCAATTCCAAAAAATTTCGCACTCATTCAATTTTGATCCAACTATATATAGAATGTAGGAGTTTTGGCATGTATGGTACTCAATTTCCAGTTCAAAATGACTCCTCTACTGTGGAGAATTGTACAAGGGAGGGAGGTGCCAGATTGATGTTACAGATAGGGACGGCTACTTTCAAGTCAGTGATATTACAAATAAATTCTCCTTCTGCAGTGATCATTACCAGCTACAAGAATGTGTAAGGCAGGAAACCAGAGCCACCCATTGCTTTTGTGTACTACTGCAAAATCTTATCCCAGACATTATGTAACACGGCAAATATTTGGAAATGGAAATATTTTGACTTATCATTGAAAGTATGTGTGAAGTTAAATTATTATGAGTGTAAACACTGCTCACATTATATAGCCACAGTGAAGTAGATATCGGGTAGTTGGTATGTATATATTGGTATGGGATTTCCATCAGGACATGATCAACAGGTAGCAGGTTTATGTTGACACAACCTATTACCCCCTATGTTTGTATCGCCTGCCAGGTCAACACATCAGGTCAAGCTTAAGATTATGGCCATCGAATGGGTTTATTCATTAAAGTGTGGGGGCACCTGTTACTTGTACTTCACCCTGATAGTGTATGTAAACAGAAGTCTGAAGTCCCTCATCAAATAGGAATCTAAAATAAGTACACAGGGATATAGGTAAGGATATAGTGGTAAACACGACAGAAGTCCGTACTTCTCTCTATTTTCAGATCTCTATCTATCATTACATATGGTTTTTACATACACCTCCTGTACAGGATGTTTGTTAGCTATGTGACAAACCATCCACACCTGTGTGGATCATATTCATTTCCTAATCCAGCTGACACTTTACCACACCTTAAAGTTTCTCACCTGTCCATCTAGTCAATCATGTTTCATCCCTTAGGGGAGTACACACATGTAACCTAAATCTATGAGCCATGAAGATTGTTACACTACGTGGCTAGGTTCATTTAATATTAGATACATACCTTCATAGATCCTACATGTTGTATGTTCCATACTTATACAATACAATCAAGTCTAAGAAGACCAAAGACCTGTTAATCAGTGTCTATCAATTATAAACTGGCCTCCATAATTTATGCATGTATATATAGGTCTTGCATATTTTATAGGGCCCTTGACAAGATGGAAATATTTATTAGGATCATGCAGTTCTTTTACTTGCTTCATTTTAATCTGTAAAACTCTGTTGATAGAATTATTTTCCTTCCTTGTGCTTATTTATTGATTAAATACTGTAGCATATAATAAATATAATGCTGGTGATCTCATGGTCTTGATGATTATAGGGGGGGGGGGGGGGCTAATTACTAGTCCATTAACAAATCAATAGTCTAACACAAAGGATAGTTATGAAGGGGCCACTCTTAGATCCCTTTTGACTTAATTTACACTGGGAGTACATATTCTAGCTATATAGGCATATAGCATGTGTTATTGCCATGTAACAGTAACTATTTCTCTTGGGGCTGCATTAGTAAGAACATTTTAATTTAAATATGGTGACATATGTTCATGATACTGAATATCTGGTGAAAACAATATATCTTGTTATAATTTCATCTGGTCATGAGCTTAAATTCGAGATTTGAGATGTAAAATATTTAGTGATTTCTTCCAACCTTTACATTCAATCTTTCCCACAACAATTTACACAATGTGCATCCTCTCATCAATTATAACCATAGGGGGAGCATCTTTGTCCGATACATTTCAATCTTGCCCTGTTATAACTATAGGGAGACACAACATGAGTGAACACTTAGATATCTAGATTGAGTGTCTATTTTAAATGGGATGGACCTCACGAACTTTGACCATTACTAGTAATCTTCAAAGACAAATTTGATAATTAGTAGGTAGAGCAGGTGCTCTTGTGGAATTGATAAGACTGATGGGGAGGGTGTCTACACCACAGGTAAATGTCTGATAGTATATATATATATGACAACTCTGCAAACACCACTACCAAACAATACCATTGTTTCCCAGACAGCAAAAACCCTGCCATCTCATTGCTCTATGATCAAGCTTACACCCATGATTGTCCCGTTCATACTGTTGAAAACGTTTACTCCTCTAAAACACCGATCACTATAAAGAGCGATGTAGCAATGTCTTCATACTTAATGAGTAGGATAAAGGAGCTAGTCCATCACACAGATGACTCTTTGGGACCAGGTATCTTCAGATACACCACATTTTATGACTCAGTTTGTGGGACCAGATACCCACCATCTTGTGACCATATGGAACCATGCAGATACAAAAACCTTGTGATTCCATGGGTCTAGATACTAACAAGTGTCCTCCTCAGCATTATACCATTTGGGACCAGATACCTAAAGGTACTCGCCATTCTTTTAACCCTTTCACCACTGTAGACCGTAATGGACTCATCCATATCAATACATGGTAGCTAAAACCTACTAAAGTTACATAGGGGTGAAAGGGTTAACTGGGAGACCAGATGTCCATGAATACTCATCACCTTGTGAATTTGTAGGAAGAGATACCCATAGGTTCTCCCACTTTTTTGACTAGGGGACCAAATACCTATGGACAACAACCACATAGTGACTCTTCGGGACCAGATACTTATGAATATCCACCAACTTATGACACTGTGGGGCCAGATATCCATAAGTATACCCTCAATCTTGTGACTTTGTGGGACCATATATCAACCATGTTGTGACTTTGTGGGACCAGATACTCATATGTATACCCACCATTTTGTGACTAGGGGACCATATACCCATGAATACCCACCACCTTGTGACCATTTGGAGCTATGCAAAAATCTGAAATTACCTTGTGACCCTATGGGACCAGATGTCCATTGGTATTGACAACCTTGTGACTATTTGGAACCAGATACTGATAAACATGTAACCACCTGGTTACTCTGTTGGACCAGAGGTTTATGGTCAAATTTTGATTTCGTTCAACTTCATGTTATGTTTTCACAGAACACACTCACTGTAGGGACAGGATTGAATAACATATTAGCTCTAACCTGATCCAAAAGCAAATTTCTCCACATACAGTTAATAAGAGGTTTCCTTAACAATTTGCCTGTAATGATACTACCTGATCAGGAAGGCTGACTTATCAGACATGAAAACCACACATTAAATACTTCAGCCTTGCGATATACCAAAGGAGAATCTTATGTAGTACTATAACACTGTCTAGATGATGATAAATGCCATGGAACAACCCCCACCCAATGTCAGGTAAAAGCTAGGCTATCATGTTGAATAGGTTTCCCACAGTAGGACACAGGGTTAATCTGTGTGCAGGGGGAAACCCTGGACTTGCATACATATTTCACAGATAAGGTGGGAAGGTGTATAAGGTTGAGGAAATCTGATAAGATGGGCTGGAATTTTTGACCGTTTTTCTGACTCATATATTATTGATTAAAATCTGGGTAATCTGTACTGACCTAAAGAAGAAGTTCATGTTAACCGAGTTGTGTTGAGGATATTTATAAATCATTCCTGATATATTTGAAGGCAATGTACTTTTCTATTGCACACATTTAGTACAATGTACCTACATTGGACAGTGTAGGTCTTGATAATATATCTATAGAACAGCTATTCCTGGAAGAAAAAAAAAATCATTCATTTTATATATGTATTTTTTAAAGGTTACATGTAATGAATAATAGAACAATGGTAGAGTCGTCACATCTATAAATAGTGTGCTATGATTTATGAAAAGTTCTTTTTACACAACCAATAACATTTTCTAAGTGATGTTTCGACGACTAGTATGATATGTACACTCACCTTCATCAGACAAATGACCAGTGAAGCGTATCCACACAATGGTGTAAAATGTGTACGAGTTGTCCACAAAATCGATATCAATTTTGTGGACAACTTCTACACATTTTTCACCATCGTGTGCATACGCTTCACTGGTCATTTGTCTGATGAAGGTGACAATTACTAGTCATCGAAACATCACATAGAAAATCTTATTGGTTGTGTAAAAAGAACTTTTCATAATCCATTCTTATTACCAGCCTGAAGAAAATGTTTAGAAATGTGTTATGATGAAGTAAAATCTAGGTCCAGCTTGGGCTACAAATTAATTGGTGTTGTTTTTCTGACATTTCCTTATCATATATAGCTATATCTTTACACCTTGTTTAAAGTAAGAAAGTTTGAACGACCTCTTTGAAGGTATCTGGTGAATTAGGGGGGATTACTGGGAAGTGTATTTTGATTGACTGGTCTTTGTAGGGGTGTATGTTTATCATTATACAAAATTTCCTCGTATATATAAAACCCATCAGGATCATCTATTCCACATGCTTGTGGTTCATGAAATATCTACTTACATTTCCTATAGAACTGCCTATAGATCCTCCGTCTAGGCATACAATGCACATGTAAGGCATTACATGTAGTTATAAAATCTAAAGCAATGCTTTCCTTTGTAATTTAATGGTTAATATCGTGTACTTATTGTGGAGAGCACTTCTTCAATTTTTATGGGTTTTCGGTATTGTGATACCTAAATGCAAACCATTTAGTATGCATATTGGTGTAAAATTGTAAATGTTAATTTGTTTTCATCTTCAAGAATAAGAGAAAAGAAAGCTAAAAAGCCAACAAATAATTATATTGGGTGAGTACCAGGTTCGTGCGGGAATGACGACACGATAGTATAGAGTGGTTGTTACAGCAGCAGTCTTGTATATTGTTCTACATCCTGACGTCACCTTCATCTCTACTGTACATGTGTAGTAGATATAATCAAAACTTAAAATGTTGGCAATCATTCTTTATATAGAGGTGACGGTGTCTTACGGATGGAGAACAATTCGCTGTAACTCATAGAAGCAAGGAAATAACCCTACAGTTAGTGTCCGAACTTAAACGCATGGACTTTGGTTATGTCAGGTTATGTTCAAGTTTTTAAAAGTTTATGAAAACTGTTTTCTTTTAGTTGAAATAACCGTTAATTTAAATTTTTGCATGAGGCATATTTTTTTCAGATTCCTAATTAAAACACTGTTTTCTGTTATTTTTGGTCATTAAGGTATAATATGAAACACTTTGTTTTATACATTTATTATTTTATAACAACTGTTTTCATGTGTAACCCACAGATGATTTGGTCATTGGAATATTTCATTTTATTTTCTGTCTGTATTCGTATCTTTATTGCTGCAATTGTATGATTAAAATGGCACAAAAAGGCATGCACCGGGTGTACAAAGTTTCTGAATGTAATGTTGTGTTTGTTTAATTTAATAGTCATGTTTTCTTTGAAGATAAACAAAACATTTGTGTGGCATGAGTTTTACTGCATGTCAGTGTAAATATTTCAGATTCAAAGAACGTCCTTAAAGGTAGATGATTCTCATTAAGGAAAAGAATGTGATGTCGTTGAAAGATGTAAGAAAAAAATCCCCATCAAATCAGACTTTTCACTATCAGATAATATATTACAATAACAAGTGCAGATTTTGCACGCTCAGTACTTGTAACAAACGATGGCATTTGTGATGTAAATAAATTGTTTTGTACTAGTCGAAAGGGATAAAAGGAGACGTTCTTGATTTATATATAGAAATAATTCCTCTGCGTATGAGAGGGCTAGTAATTAGTTTGGAGATGGCCCGTGAGAGTTCCTCGTGTTCAGTAGGAAAACCAGTCGAGACCCCAACGTTGGCATGTGTCCATGGCTACACTGCAAGGTAGTCTCACCTTGGTCCATTGGCAGTACTGCACACCTGGTAGTGATCTGTGGGGTAGTATATACATCTATAGAGACGCTCCCGTTACACAATACAGTACCCCTCACATACCAGCATCGCACCATCATTGAACCTATCCCTGGGAACCTATATGTACCCTTGTAAGCTGAAGGATAATGTGCTAAGATGATCATGTTTTATAGTCTTCGAGAGGAAGATAACCAGCTTCATACTGACTGCTGCACTTCTAATATATGCACATTGACATATAATTCATAGATATGCATTCTTTTCAGGATATTTTAGGTTGTATTATCAAATCGTGTATCAATGTTTGTGGTACGTTATACAGTCACACTTAATTTAACACCATTGAGAGGGATCTTATTTAACACCAGCGAGTGGGATCCTAAATGGGGAAAATATAGATAAAGACAGATTAAATTACAAACCACACCAATTGAAGGGTTGTTGCTTCAAAGGTCCAGTAGGAAATATGGCTCAAGTTGTCTTTAATTTTAAATTCATCAGATACACTGTCATATTAAGAGTTGCAACAAATTTCCACAGATAAGTGATTGAATAAAAACAAGTGATTAATTTTAGAGTAAAAGTGATTAGTAGAAAAATAGAATGGTATCCTTATTAAATGTGCATACATTTTGACTAACTAGAAATTAGCAATATAAACATATATCTCACTCAGATATGGCAAGCAATGAATATAGATATTGATTTGATGAAAAAATGGAGACATTTGCACATCATTTACACGTCAAGGGGAGACAATTATATGAGAACATTAGTATCACTATGGTGATGGTAGTATGCCCCAGTTGTAAGGGTAGATCATCCAGGTGCTGAGACTGGTCTTGCCACTGACAGATGGCCAATATTGCATACCTGAGGTCGCCATCACAGACATACATTACACACAGAAATTGAACACTATCTCCTATCCACCCCTGCCTCCAGAACAGCTAGAGGTACTTACACTCTGTAGCAGACACCACACCATTGCATCATGATCAGTGGCATATGTTTTGTGTAAAGTCTGCTGTAAATATCTCGCACCACTTCATCATTGCACTGGGTTGCTCTGTTTGGAGTTCCACCAAAACCTGAATTCTTCATAGCAAAGCAAAACAGCTAAGTAAGCTGATTTGTGTATTATAACAGGTCATCGACCTGCTTTGAAGTGTTTGTTCATCTGTCATTGAAAGTTGGTGTCTGAAATGGTTTCCAATACAACATTCCGCTTCATGTGTGACCAAAAACTCCCAACTTAATAAGGTAAACATGCTGAAAAGGTTTTAAACATTAAACCAGTTGTCCTTATAAATATATATTTTAATTTGTACAACATTAGATATAGTGTTCTATCTAGCTTTAATTCATTTACCCCTGAAAGTTCATATTTACTATTTCAACCTTTGAATTGTAAGAGTTCAAATGTGTCTTCAGGGGTAAACTGTTAATAAACCACAATAAGTTACATTACATTATGGATATATAAAACTTATAATCTGTACAAAATGAGGACCTGGTAGGAATTACCTTATCAAGCACTTTCTAGTGGTCGTAAGCCACCTGGCTAAAACCTCCACATGTGTGTGCTTGAGGTGTATTGGTATGTGTACCTTACTGTAGTGGGAATGTGCTCCAACAGCATCCCTTTTCCATAGTAGCACTTCCATTGAAAATTACAGCACAAACACTAGAACCCACCCCAAATCATTTGAGAATGTGCTCCAACAGCCACTCTGCCAAACCTTTTCAAATCCATCCTATAGGTCTTGTGTATATATCCAATAATTACAAAATGTAGAATAATATAAATGATGACAATCAGAAAGAAGAAAAAAAGTAAAAATAAACATAATTATCAGAAATCAAATTCATTTTTTTGCTTATAATTATATGTAATTGACTTATCGAAACATGCACATCAGACTTTCAGATTATATATAATGTCACATAGCCAATATGTTGAATTTTATTCTTCAAGATATACAAGAAAAAGCATATTTTTAGCATATACCGGTTTATATATAGACATACAAATTACTGTCTGTGCTTGTCACAAGATTTTTACTTGAGCTCGCCAGAGGCACACTAAAATGAAAGAAAAAAAAACACCGTTTCACAAAAGTCATATGTAAAAGTAATCCAGTAAGATCCTATGACAGTAGGTGTTTTGTTTGTTTGCAATATGTTGTAAATTAATACAGTCTGTGATAAGAGAAAGTTGTAAAAGCTTATGATATACCTTTAATAACAAGCATGTGTTATGTAGGGGTTGTGTAGAGAGGACCCCACACTACCACCAGTATATACCTCCTAGAACACTGGTGCTGGTGTCGGGTTGCCTGTCTCTACAGATGCCTCATATATAGATAGATAGCTAGGTAGATACATTGTACACACTAGCACTGACCTTGCCAGGTTATTTTGAGAAGATTAGTATCACATGTGTTATGCTGATTTTCTCTGTGTCTCCACTTGTGGAAGTTCTCTTCTCACTCTTTCTGGAACTTGGTTCTAGAATACATTCTGCTTTATCTAGAAACCGGCTCTCTACCCCTATAAAAACAACTTTGTCTGCAATATTAGCCGTTTCCATACGATAGGAAAACTTCCTTCAAACTTTTTGCTGATTTCATGTAAATTTGTAAAATGTGATGTATGGAATGCCAATGCTGAAAATTGGCCACACCCTTCCAATTGAACAACAAGGAGACCAGGAATATCATTCTCTCACAAAAGTTACCTCCCTTCCCTTTTTCAGAATTCCTAAACTTTTGAATAAGAAGCCTTTTATTATAAGTAAATTATAATATCTGCAAGACACTTGGGATATCTTTACCTATTATGTAGTAAAAAGCTTCAACCATTTCTATATCATGATTTTACAAGACATTCCTATATGTCATAAAAACGATCACCATGTCAAGTTCCATATTTAAGACTTTATCTGAACGTAAACGATATACATGAATCATAAAGGTAGAAAATTTCGTCGCTGTTCCCTATCAAATTCAATTTATCCCCAATTAATGCTTTCAGCATTAAAAGCTTTGGAAAAATAGAATGAGTACAGAAACCATATATTACAGACACATTTTCAAGTTAATCACACTAACAAGGTGCATATATCTTAATTTATTTGACAATACTTGCATCAATATCCATTTCCTCCAGGGTACAATGAATTGAGAAAGTCATTGAAATAAGTACTATATGGACTATAGTGTAAAATTCTTAATGATCAAATACTTATGGCAATTAGTCACATTAGGAACCTTTGTTGTGAATATATTTGTCGTGAGTTCAATGTTGTAATTACACTTGTATGTGACCATTATCACCCACTATTCCACAGCTAAGGGTTTTGTTATTGGAGTACTGTATTAGTCCTAATACTAGCCCATTGTCTAATAATTGCCTATCCTTCCACTTTGAGAGCAAAATACCCTTCAAAAATTACTAATTTTCGAACTTTGCAAATATCCCCAATAATCATCCATCCCCCTTTTGACATGGTTTCACCGTAACTATGCAGTTGTCCTTGTTAACTTCTGATTTTTACAGTTAAGTGATTGATAGACGACATAAGGTTGAAATATATAAATTAAGTGCAACATGTGGTGTTAACTGATGTTGTTGTGGTTAGGTTATATAGGTCAAGTATATAAATCAGTGAAATGTAAAAACCAAGCGCTAGCATGGTGGTGGTTGGAGTCAGAATAAAGGTTATTAGAATCAATACGGTACAATATGTGTAAAATTGCAATGGAACAAGGTTATGCTCTTATACTTCATTATCTTATGAATAGAGCGATTTACTCACCAAGGCTAAAAAAAAACACCCATTTATGTACAGATCAGCTTACAAGTGTAAAAGCTGTTTCTATAAAAATTAATATCTAGTGCAATGAATAGTTTAGGAGTCCTACAGTTATTATCATTGAAGTAAATCAATTGCATATAATTATAACAATGGACAAAATTAATGGATGGAAAGAGCAGCTACAACCATATACTGTCTGTGAGTTAAAGTGGCCTCTAAAATTCTGACAGAACTTTTTATAATGAAGACATATGCATTCCAAAAAATAATTTATTGTGCAATACATGTGCATTAGTTTCCTGTCACTTCCCCGATCCTTCTGTCGCAGAATACATGCATAAATTATAATGGTTCATAGTCCACTGCTTTATATAATGAGCTTCACCTGGGCACACACTGCACATTAACACTTTGGGATTTCCAGCAGACCACCAAACTGCTTTGTGTAGACAAAATATGGTTATTTACTCAATGTAACTGCTTTGTATAGAAATAAATATGTGTTATGAACTGGTGTCAATTTTATTGATGCATGTGATTGAAACATTTTTTTTATAAATGCATTTCCTTCATAAAGGTTTTCTGTCTTTAATATGCTGTATGATTTTATGTGATATCATCTGTGTGAATTATGGAGATTGGTGTCCCTATGACACCAGTTAAAAGTGAATGTCTCCTATTTCTTTACCTCAGAGGAAGTACTTGTGGGCGGTCTGTGCTAGATCTGTTGTTACTACCCTCAAACAATGTTTGGTATTTCCTGGTTGGATTTATCAGCTTGTAATTATAGGGTAGGGAATACATGATAGATAGCACATGGTGACATGGAGTCAAGATCACCAAGGTGACATGGAAACAAGGTCATGCCCTTGACTACAACTCAGACTGTTAGTGCACCAAACAAAAAACGATCCCATATACTATCACCTTGGTTGTTTAGTCTAAGAGTCCATTATAATACAAAGTTATCAGAAGTAAGATAAAAAGGATTGGTATGGGGATTTTTGACATATACTTGGTATGGGTGTATGGACAGTACTTTATCAGACTTAAAGGAAATCCTTTAGGGAGGGAGAACTTTTGTGTTGCAGATTTAAACACATTCCAGCATAGTATCCAAACCTCATTACCACTGAAAATATGTTTTACATGAAAATGGATGTGCGGGTGAAAATATATTACTCCTATACACACACTAAAACTACCTGTGTATATATATATGTATACCTATCTATGTGCTTTGATGTATTAGTGGTGACCAAATGTATAAACAGCCAGAGTCCTGTAGTAGTAACCTTGTAGTCATGCTTCATGTATTATCCATGCTTTATTTTCTCATAGAAAAAATTTGGAACAGTACATGGAGGACGAATCTACTACAGCAGATCAGTAAGTCCTGGTGATGTCATCGTATCCATATATTCTATGTCCTGGCACTATGATCATGGTGAACAGAAGGCTTGCACATAACACATTAGCACTGTGATCATGGTGGGAGAGAGGCTTGCACATGTAACAAACTATGCAGAATTCATCTGATGCTGCTTACTGTGGCTTTTATATGACTAGTGCAGTGGTGTTATGACCTTAACACAACTGTGTCCACTGGATTGGAGAACATTGATTTGTAGATTTTGATTAATCATAACATGATTTAAGGCTTTTATCTTCTAGTACAAAATACTATTTGATATATTTTAATCCTTTCATGTTTGAAATGTTCAAAATTCACCAGCTATGTCTATTTTTTAACATAATTGTGTGTAGTGCTTAACCAGATAATATTACACTTTGGTAGAACTAATTAGCAAAGAAATCTGAAATACAGCGATGTAATTATTGGAAGATCACAACATATCATAAAACTTTAAAAAGGGAAATATATACATATTTAGATTTTGTGTTAAGGTTCTGCCGAGTTTGTTGGGCGTAGATAGGCAGTATACATGTACCTCTTCGTTGGCTATGGTCTAATTGCTGTTATTTAACACACTCTTCTTGTTCCAGGTGGTAGAAATTTCATCTTGCATCTTTCAATACCTGAACATAATATAAAATGATGTAATCGCTGATTGTAGATCAGGCTTTGAGGCCAGTCAGTGTTAACGTGTTGCTTCTCTCATGTCCATACCATTTTCTGCCTTTAAGCATTAGCAGATTACTGACCCAGACAGGTGTATTTACTGTCCACCTATATTTAGGAAACCCTGGCTAGGATGTTAATATTCAAATCTCTGAAAGAAGTTATTCTACATCTAGTTCAGGAAATGACAATGAATGAGGAAACCTGTGGTTGTTTATGGTTGTGACTGCTTTCACTCGACTATTAAGTGTGCATTTACAAGGTACTTCGTGGTGATTTGTTCTCTTTAAAGAATCTTTCTTAGTTCACTTACTTCAAATAACTTTCACCTGCAAACTTAATTCACCCTTTATATTAATTTTATAGATCAATATACTTCCGCAGTTTCTGGCATTTAAGAGAATTAACAACCCTGGGTAGCTGTAAACAGTTTATAAAAGATCAATATGTGATGTCGGGGTTCTTTTTTTTTGAGGCGCCATAATAGCTTAACCCTTTAACCCCTAGGTAACTTTAGTAGACTATATACCATACATTGATCTTGATGAGTCCATTATGGTCTACAGTGGTGAAAGGGTTAACATGCATTTCTTAATCTTTTAAAAATATTTTTATATTTATTGAAATTTGCAGTGATATCAATGTGTCAGAATTTTAAATGAAGGCAATATTTCATTTAAACACTTGTGCAAAGATAATTGAATATTAATTCCTTCTAAAAATTTGATGTAAGGCCCTGTTCAATAAACGATGTTCCAAACAATCGGTCCTTGATGATATTTCATACAAACTGATACGATATTAGATCAAAGTAAGCATTGTTAGTGAGCTTGTCTGTTCTGACAGACACCATGGAGGTATAAGTTGGTAAAACAGGCTGATGAGTCCTGATACTGGGCCTCGGAGCATTCCCAATTACATGTGTTGTGTTGTCAGTAGGGTTGGGGTGAAAGGATGAACTGATGGTATCAGAGATTGACATACTGTAGATACAGTGTCTAGATGGATGAGATGGATAGTACTAACACTATATAGTGCATGTATGTACAGTGGTCAATAGTGTGTAGATGTGTTTACTCGTTAAACATTGTTACCTTATATGGCTCATTGAATTTTGTAACAACAGGAAATGATGCAAGGAATAAATGAATTTTAATTGTTTACAAAAAGTTATGTTTTGATTCATGAGTTAGGAACGGAAAGGTAATACGCATAATGTTTTTAGTGTTATTGTGTATAAAGTAGCATTAACAGTCAGTACAATGACATATCACAGAAGATGTATAGGCTAGCACCTGTAACTTGTGTGAGAAATGTACTGTTGTGGTTTTTGTGTGTGTTAAGTTCATCTAAGTCCAGGTACACCTTTAAATCGGTGTGGATTAACTGGAGTGGAATAACAAACATGTCTACATACATTTTTATGTGTATTATATACATAATGTATGGCAATAAGACCAGCACACAAGATTCTGTTTTTACAAAAGCAGAGTTAATTTATATATTAAGATAGATTTTCATTGAAAGAGAAAGTACGTAAAATTGTAGAAATCCCTGATTACCTATAATTTAATATCTGAATGCATGATAAATGGTTAAGTAAACTTTGTGGTGCCATAGCAATAAACTAGAAAGAAAATACTTTGGTTATCATTCCAGAAGTCAGAAATAGTGGTAAAGGTCACCACCTGCTTGACGGACGAACAATTCTTTATTTCCTCCTTGTGTTAGATTTGTTACATTTTAACATGTCCCTGTGAAACTATTTATATGAAACAACAGTGAATTACTCCGCCATTCCAACTGGGATTTTATTACAGAATATTGGAAAGTGAAAAAAAGGTTAAGTAAAAATAACAGACTTGTGAGTCACAGACACATGAAACTGTGATATTGGTAGATCTCTCTTTGATAAATAAAACAGGTATGTAGAATTTTAGCAAGGTAGGTATGTTATCTTGATTTATGGCTGAAATATCAGCTGGCATAAACCATTGAAGGTATAGGACATGTACATGTTGTATACCTAAACTGTGGTCACTTCTGTCTGGGATTAATAAGTGAAGGTCAGGCCAGGTCAAGTGATCCTAAGCTAAGATCTTCAACACTAATTACGTTAAATATATTTTCATATAGAATATGTTGTTTATAAATTGATATGTTAGGATTGTAGGTGGTTTTTTTTCTACAGGTACACAGTGTAGACATGTTTACCTGTGAGACAGGTATTACCAGGTATAACGGTATACATAAATCAGCCTCTCTATAATGTAAGACTTTAATATGTCTGTGACATTCAAGTCTCAAATAAAGTAGTGGAACTCTGAACTCGTTATGACAGGTACAATAAAAATGTTAAAATTTTATAAGTGTGTGTGTAAAAAGAATATGTTTAATAGAGAGGATATGTCGAGTAAGTGATCAAACATACAGTGACCCAAGACTGTGATGTGTGGGTCCTGTGTGTGACCGTCACACAGGTTTATATAATGGATGTGTTGTAGTCTAGCATGGTGTAAACACGGTGACAGCATGATGATGTGGGACCAGCCCTTTGTGGGCGAGCCTGCTGGAGCCCAGCACTAGGTGTTGGGGATGTATACCTGTATAAGGCATGCATGGTAGTAGTCATAGACAAATCCATATTTAGATTTCTACATCTTGAACATGATGTTGCCCCCAGACTGTAAAACCAAGTCCTACCATAATATACAATTACTACTTCCTTGATTGTTATTTACTTCAATTAAAACTTTCTCATAAATCCTAACTTGCGTTTGTTCTACCTAATCTTTTCATGTGTATAATAGAGAGCCAATACATTGTCATATATTTTAGTTTTATCGTAACTGTTCTATATTATTTTAATCAGCTGTATGTATTTTAGTCCTGTAATGATGTTGCATGCCTCTTTACCTGTTATTCAGCTTTGTACCTGTTGTTGATTGGGTTGTTTTTGTTTCACAGAGGAGCCCCACCCCATCAGTACCAGTATGAGAAGTTCTCTGCCCCAGCCATTCCCAGCAAGGCTGGAGGTCTCATCCAGTACGACTCCACGTCATCAGTAAGTAATAGCACAGTCTCTATCTACTGCCTATTCCACTACAAATCACTGAAACCATCACATTTACTCCGTATGCTGGAAAATAGTTTTGCACAGTTTAGGAAACCATGTTCAGGTTGAGAGATTTAATTCAAATTATTTTTATTTCACAAAATATAAATTTTTAACATGTAATTTTTTCCCACAAAAACTTCAACCTGATTAGAAGTAACCTGATTAAGACACCTATTACAGAGTATATATGTTACAGCTTTTATTGCTTTCACGAAGTTCAATTTCCCTAAATAGGTTGTTTATTGTGAAATTGAGAAATAATGGTCTCTCCATCTGTCTATCCCAAATCCTTGTGACATTTGTTTGGGCATTAACTTCTAAACAGCTCAATATATTTTGAAGAAATTTCCTAGATGGATATTTATATATGTGCCTTGGAAACATATCACATACAGTTCTTGTCAGGATCAAAGGTCAAATATATATTTGTAATGAATGCCCTTGTTATAATTTCTGAACAGTTCAATACTTTACTCATTATGTCTTTCCTAATTCGGATGAAGAGAGACATCTTGTATTATTAAGGATCCTGGTCCCACTGCACTGCTGTTTTTCGTATATACAGCAACCTTCCTTTAGTTTCATTTTGGATATAACTGTTTTGTCTAAGCCCAGTTGGGCTAGGACACTTCCATTATCCATGTAACAGAGTCGGTTAGAGTCATCGTATAACTATTTGGAGTCCAGGGTTCGAATTCCATCTAGATCTGCTGAACTTTTTACACATCATTATTAATTATATTTTGTTTACTTCATCTGTATTATTTTTCGTTTCACAAAAGTCTTGCAAGATATGGTTTTATTTTCAGATATAATTTATCAAAGCTAATCATGCTTGAGTAAGTTTCCAATACATAGTTACAGTTCTTGGCAGTGGTACGGGGATTCTAAATACTGCTTCTCTTTCTAAATTATAACCTTGTCTGGGTCATATCTTTTACACATTTAAAGCCTTTTTGATAAAACTTAAAAGGTACATGCATCATCCACAAAATGTGTGCAGTGCTCTGTAAAACGTTCTCTGTGACCTTATTATCTCTAGGTTAAAATTCACATAAGTGCAAAAGTTCCAGTGACTGAGTTTCGATATACACATTGGATGATATGGAAACATGATGTTGTCATCAAAATCAAATCTTAGGTAGTATATGGTTGTACCTTTGTTAGATCATAGGCGTCTCTTACAGCTTTAGGTCCCTACCCAGAGTCAGGTCATAGAAATGGAACAGATCAAGGTTAAATCATTGTTATCCTTGCCCAGGCCATAACTGTTCCTCAGACCTGACAGTTAGGTCTGTATGTAATCCTTAATAAAATGGTATCATTTACCCAGGTGGGTCTATGAGGTGAGGTTACATATAATGACCTTTTAATTGTTTACTTTATGGGTGACATTGTGTACTTTTGAAATAAAAAAAATTGTCTGGTCAAGAGGCGTGCGTACCTGTAGCTGTTGGGATGAGATAGTTGCCTGTCTGGATCTTGAAGTATTTACTTATATTAGTCACCGTGTGGTTAGCTTTTTTTTTGTCCTGTAAAACTTTTTTGTTGGTTTAACGATGTAGATATCACACTCATTACAAACACAAAGGTTCAAATGTACTATAGGTGAATTTTCTTATTTTTTGAGGTATAATTTTTCTTTTTTTGTAAAATTGAAAAGACTTTTTATAACTTTTATACAAACATAACCAGACTTTGTCCTCAATCTGTGATTATCTGATGGGGCTCCGTGTGGCAGAAAATTGACACAGGTAACCAGCAGTATCAGTTACACTTTTTTCCATGGTAATTTTATAGGCCTCTTGTTAAAGGGGTCTAGAAGTAGCTGAGAGGGTATTGGCCAGCAATCTACTCCAAATAGATAAGGCCATTTGCTCAGGTGTTTCATTCACAGGTAGCTCTAGGTAAATCAGATTTCCTATTGTTTGGTCTATTACATTACCTTAAGCAAGAACGGATGTTAAAAAGTAGCATCTGTTTGTCTGTCAGTATTTCAATCTATTTCAAAAGAAAAAAATACCATGTCAAATCAATGTCAGACCCAGCTTAGATTTGTATAAATGAAGTATTTAAACACTTCCAAAAGGTCTATTATGTGTAAGATATGTTGCACTGTTCTTTTTTTATTATGCAAAAGTTAAAAGGAATACAAAATAAGCATGTACCCATTACCAGACTCAAGTACAGATAAAAAATATACATTTCCCGAACAGGAAAAAATTGAATCTACTTCCTTATCTCAAAAACTCACACTACAGCACAATTGTACTAGCATTTGTCAACCATTAACCCTTTCACCCCTACGCAACTTTAGAAGACTCTCCCATGCTTTGATCTGGATGAGTTCATTATGGTCTACAGTGGTGAAAGGCCACACTTAAGCTCTTTGAAGGGACTGGTGCTATATCTCTGGGAGTCCCTGAAGACTTGTATAATGTCTACTACATGTTCATTTCTTTCTAACGTTCACATAGATGGAATATTTCAATCTAGAAAACAGTCATTTACTATCAGATTCAGTGAAACTGCAGTAAAATCCTTCTTTTCATTTCTTTAAACTTCTTGTATTTCCAATTTTTGTTAAATGTTCTTCATTTCATTTCTTCAAAATTCTTGAATTACTAGGCTGATTTGTCTTTCTTGATCTTCCAAACCCCTTTATAAAGCAAAAACCTTGCGATTTAGATAGTAACAGTAAAGGGAAGGTTTTCTGTATTCACATTCGCTTAGATGACTTTTCCATTTCTCTATAACTTTTGCCTTTTTTGAGACTGAATAAGGAAAACAGAAAAATTGCTATCATAGTTGGATATGATTGGCTTGCATTGTATTGTCTGATGTCATTGAAGTAATGGATATCTTTATAAATATTACCTGTGGTTCTGAATCACAAACTTTATAACACCTGGCATCTCACCGTCTCGGAGACTGTATTCGGTTGACCTCCTATGAAAGATGAATATATATGTTATTGTTCTGATAAAATTGTGTGTAAAGTGAAATGTGAGGTGTATTGAGATACCGTAAGTAAAGTAGGAAGTATGATTATTTTTCTTAAACTGAAACCAAGATTTAAATTGTATGGCCAAACAAATGTTTACAAAGATTCTTAAAATGTTAAAAACAAATGAAGAGAAAAATATAAATATGATTTTATTGAATGTGATATCAAATGACTTTTTTTAGAAACAAAATTGATCTGTTCTTTTATTTTCAGTATGTTGAATATTTTTGCAGTAGATTATTCGGCCCATATCAAACCATTATTGTTAGGGTTATTTCTGCCTGAACCCCTATTAACAATTTCATAGGGCCTTTCAATAAGAATAGGAAAATTTGATTGATCTGGAAATCTATCAAACAAGAAGATGTATCGGTGTGTCTGTAAACTGGTGAATAATATCTGGAAATGGTACTGCCCTCCTACGCACATTCCTACCGTGTAGACTCAGAAAACAGTCACCGTGTATACAAAACTGTTTCAGACATAACTCACCTATACAACCAATTACCAAGAACTGCTTCTGTTTAATGAAAAGTGCTGAGCTGTTTATAGAATATGCGAGTGAGGTATTTTCACATATCTTTTTATAGATAGGAAAATACAAGTAGTCTTGTACATTTGTCTGTGTCACTAATTGATTAATGCATCCATGTTTAATATACAATGTACAAGGTAAGACTGAGCTGTGTGGAATGATTAGATTCCAGGTGTACGATAATAAAATGAAGTGAAGGAGTAAATCCATCAAATGTTTTACAAAATGTTGCTATAAGATATAACATTACTAGGTGTATGTATACACAGGTGAAAAATAATTCAAACCAGTGTGTCATAACTCTATAGCTCAAATTTTTACTGGGATTTATATCGATAAATCAGTTTCATTTGAGACTCCAACTGGAAGCAGATTAATGTACAGTAATGAGACAGGTATTTCTACAATGTCTCTGTTATGTTCAGATGATTTATAGAGCTAGAAAAGGGGATCAATACGACAAACATTTTGTATTATACAAGCTGTATACAATTCTTAGTTACAGAACTGGGATTACAGACCAAGATGTTACATATATAAAAGTTTCTCATTTAATAGTCTTCAATGGTTTCTTTGGTTTTATTCATTACCTTTTCATTTCTGGACAGGATATCACTTTTTCAGATTATAGCTTTCAGGTGTACATTCTTTAAATTGTTGGGTTATTTATAGTATTGATATGTCAGCCAGGTTTTCCAGTTAGTGTACTGTCAGGAGTAGACATACCCTAGAGAGGTGTGGAGCTCATTCATACGGCCACAATAGCAATTGATCAAATGCACCAGTACTTATAAGGCAACAATAAGGCAGTATAAAACGAGCCAAGGAATCTACATAAAACCGCATAGGAAGTGCTTACTGTAAGGATCAATAGGTCAGAACACAGCAAACCTTGGCTTACATAATGATGTAGTTACCTTGTCATTTGATGATGTATAAGACTTTTGGAATCTGGTGATTCATAGACGTTATATGTATAATGTAGATATAAAAAAAGGCTCACAACAAAACTGCTGTATTAAACACATTATATAATAACAGCATGTACAGGAGACTTATAGAGAGAAAAAACCCAGACATAACATTGTCTGCATTTAAAATGATTTGTGTACATACATGTACTGAAGACAAGTGCTATACGTTGTATCCTGATTAAGTATCCTATGGAGCTCATTTGTACGACCCTTTAATGACTATATCCTAGTTCATGCCATTGAGTTGGGATCTCATACCTGGTAATTAAAAATGTTGGCGTGCTACTTTAATATTGTTGATTTAAAGATGCAAAGATTAAAGCTAATATCCTTGAGCCCTTGTCAAGTTCACATAATCCTGACAAAAAAACGATTCTATGATATCATTGTAGTTCAGCATACATAGATGTAATGGTGGGAGCTGATTAGATCAAATGACAAGGGTTCAAGATATTAGCAGTTGAATCTGGCAGACAGTTCACAAGAAAGGAATGAATTTGAGTCAGTTTGCAACAATATTGGGTATAACTGAAAAGTAGTTTCCTTTTCAAAACTTGTTCTCCCCGTTTCAGTAGACAAGTATACAAATAAACAAAGTTTAAAATTTGTGTAGCTACAGTGTGTAAGAGGATGATTGACATTATCTGTTCATCTCATCTGCCAGCCTCAGTACCAGCAGGATCTCTCTCCCTGTTTATCTATGGCTGCTAAGGAATGTGACTCCCTCTTATATTGTCTGCTTTCACTTACCAACTGTTGTCTCCCTGGCAGAAATGTACTAACACCTTGTAATGATAATTGTACCAGTGCTTCACCTATAGACACATTGTGTTGCCAAGGTGATTGATCTCATACCAGTAGTTACACTTCTGTAGTAATTTCCGTCTACATTTACTGAATTAGGTAACAAGTTGTATCTGTTTATCACTGTAGTTAATGCACAAAACCGGAGGCAATTATTGTTTAATATTTGGTGATAGTTATAGATAAATTGTACTTTGTATTTGTACTTTACTTTGATTTAACAATAGTTCTTGCACAACTACTTACAGTCTAATGTGCATGCAGATCTTAGAGTTCTACCTGGTGTGATTTGAAACCTAAAACAATAGACAAACAGGTGTAGCTAACTAGTTACATTGAATGTGGACGCTCCATACATATTATGTCTATGTTAAAATAAATCACAGGTTCAGGTGGCTCCAGATCAGAATTGGCCATCCTTATCCTAGTACTCCATGAGCCTATGAAGCAACTAATAGGGTCTCCATGTAGAAACAGGATTTTTATCTGCCACTGTCCCACCCCATCTTCAAAGAAAACAAAATTGATCTTTCTTCAAATCTGGTTATTTTCTTTCCTCTCCTTCCTTTCATTGGTGTCCTCCTTAGGTACCACTGGTTTAATTATATATAATGTGACTTTGTCAAGTATCTTAATCCCCAGTCCAAGTTGAGGCGAGGACAAATACTGTGACATATCAGACAGTGTGGTGGCACTATAAGGTTGCCCTTGAGGGGTCCCATTTTGTTATTATGCCCCTGCCAAGATGTTGGCAGGGCATTAAGTTTTTGTCATTTACATCGATACGTCAGTTTGTCCATGTGACATTTGTGTTTGACGTTTTGTTCAGTTCCATTTCTCTGTTATAGTCCAACAGTCATAAAACTTAATATGCCGATACATCTTCACCATTATGCATATGTGACATGTCATTTCACTGTGACCTACATTTTCCACATCACTGACTTTGGTTAATTTTTAACTCCATTTTCATCAGGAGTGGGAATTAACTTGTGTATGTTTCACAAATATTTCTGGTTTTAATTGACATTGGTTGAGATTGTTAAAAAATACTTTTTTGATGTAAATTTAGTACTTTATCATCAAACTCATCACTATCTGTCTTTGTTTTGTTACAGAACTACAATGTGTCTGCGCGTCCCTACGGAGCACCTACACCCCCCACCCAGTCTTCGACCTTCCAGTCCCAGCTCAACACCATCGCACAGCAGACACAGAACATAGACTTGACACCGTGAGTAGACTGCTTGACCTTTGAACTTTCAATATTAACCATGAGCATGCTGTGTGGATGTCCCCACAGACTTCCGCATACAGTGGTCGAGGGGCGGACGAAGGACCTGCCCTCGGTCAGCTGTGTGAGTGGAGCTGAACGTCTTGGGACAGTCATACTTAAAACAATGGTGAACAGCCTTTCACTCATTACACAGGTGTTTATAGTGTTATAAACATTGTAGTGACACTGACAAAATGTTGATTACCTTAATAAAATAGATTTCTCAGAATGTTTGAAGTTGATAGTCTTTTCTGTGTTACTGTTATATTACTGTTGTTTTGTATTAGTCATTTGTAACCTACCTTGACCATCTACTGCCAAAGCTGAACCCTTCAAACTTTAATTATTTTGTTCAAAGAAATCACAATAAAGCTTGGAACACTAGTTTGTTACTTATAACGTCATCAATACAACCTGAACAACTGGAACCATGATTTTTACCTTGTCAATGTAGAACTGACTTTGATCAAGAACTAATCATGTTTTTATCTCTTCAAAACCAATTACAAAAGTTACAAATGACTATATCTTTCCTTGGAATGAGCAGATTTGTTTGCATGGCTTTGTTTTAGATTTGACCCCCAGATTGATGGTGGGATATGTCATTCACAGAGTGGAGCCTGCTTGCTCCGTCTTATAGGGTTCTGTAATGTTGAAGTAAGATGAATGACCATGCTCTGATGATTTCTTCAAAGAAAGCTAAATTCATCACATTCATATGATTTAGATAATGAATACATTTTGGCATAAAATGTTGAGATGCGTTTGATATTCTTTCTTTGAACATTTTATTTTAAGTATATTGATATATCTGAGATAACCTGATCTTTGAGTCAGACATCCTGATGTCTGGGCATTAAAGATTAATTGTGTATGACTCTATGCAGTAAGCCTGCAGTAGCAGATTTCCAGACTGCTGCCCAGCGGTATACAGAAAGGGAGGACAAACCCCCGTCGGCGTCCCAACAATCTAAGTCATTCAAGACTCTACAAGAAGCCATAGATAGTGGACAGGGTAAGGGGCCGTTAGTCACATTCATGTAATAGAGGAGGGGGGTATTTGTCACAAAGAGGTGGGTGACTGTTACAGAAAGGCACTATAAGTCACATTAGAACTTGAAGGGAATTGTTGGTAATATTGATGTATGGAATGGGAAGTTTTTCACATAGGGAGAATGGACGGTAAGTCACATTCAGGTAGGGAAAAGAGTTTTCACATAGGGGGGAAATGGGTAGTAAGTCACATTCAGATGGGAAATGGCTGTTGTCACGTAAGGAGTAGGGGCAATAACTCATATTAAGATGAGACATGTGAAGTTGTCGCATAAGAAGACAGGGGAAGTAAGTCACATTCATATAGGGAATTGGGCTGATGTTGCATAGGGAGAAAGGGGCAATAACTCATATTCAGATGGGAAATGGCTGTATCACACATGAAGAAAGGGTAGGGATTCACATTTAGATAAGGAGAGGGATTTTTGTCACACATGGATAAAAGGACAATGTTCAGATATGGAAATTGACTGTTTAATTTTCACAGCTGGAGAAAAGGGCTTAAGTAATATTTAAGAAAAGGGGCTTTATTATATAGGAATAGTCAGTCACATTCAGATAGAGGACAGTGTAACGTAGGAAGGAATGAATCATAAGTCATACTTCAATAGGAAAAGTGGCTTTGTCACATACAAGATGTAGGAAGAAACAGGCAGTCACATTCATAAAGATATTTTGATAGACACGTATGGTAATATCTGTAGGTGGTTTTCACAAATCATTTAGTAAATCTAACTTGATGCATCCCCGACCCTTGTTGGATGAAGGTAGTGATATAGTGGGAATACAGTATATATGATTTATCTGTACTATGTAATTTATGCTAACAATTCAAAAAAGGTTTGGATCACCGTCAAATTACTGGTATTTTTCTCCAGACTTTTTACAAAGGTTACAAAAGTGGACTCCTGTTCTTGTTTGTTGAACATTTTTGCATGCCAATTTCAGGTCCTCCCTCTGCCATACTCCCCATTCAGACAACTAACACTCCAGTCGATAGGCGCAGCCCCTCCCCAATCCAACCAGGGGTGAGCAACATAGGAACGCCCAAACTGAATACCAGCCATGTCGCTCAGTTCAACAATATCAGTCAGTTCAACTCACCAGCAGGGCTATACAACAGTGACAGTGCCAATAGTTCATACCGAGTCCAAAGGTTTGTTTCCACCAGGTCTACAGCCAGTACTACATAGCCTATTATACTATACCCTCTGCTTCAAAACAGCCCTCATATACTTCCATATAGCCTATATACTACAAGAGATTGATGCTGTCATCTACTGCTTAGAAAAACCACCATTGACCTGAAATGTTTGGGTTCCCTTTAAGCACCCAGTTTGTGTAGAATCTTTTAGTGGTTGTGTTAAAATTTGTTTAAAAAGAGAGAAAAAAAGACCTTTTTGAACCAATGTCAATCCAATAGGTCCATCAATGGATATTAGATTGGGTGTATACTGTGTAAGTGATTATGGTCAGTGTGGTACTTGTCAGCAGTAGGTACAGAGGTAACACAGGGGTTGTACCAGTGATCTGGTTATCATGTGATTTGTAATTTTACAGACTTCCCCCGCAGGGCCTCTATGCCTGCCATACCTTGGAAAAGGTACATCAAATTTGATTGGTTGATTCTGCATACAGTTTGATGTAGTAAAGAAAGTGGTCTATATATCATTAATCTAGATGATTTGTTGTGTTCATTTAAAAACTGGTTTGAAAAACTTGATGATGATTTACTGAGTTAATCTAGGTTCCTACCCAAATATTTTGACTGTCTTTTAGACATACAAATTGATTTCACTTGATATAGAATGCTTAGCTTAGACCTCCGAATGCACGATACTCATCTGATGATGATGGTAGATCAGTAATCCTTCTGAATAGTTCAATTTTATATCAAATATACCTTATGTAGTCATGAATATATTTATTATAATTCTGTCTTGCCATGTACATGTAACATAAAGGTGAAGATAGTAGTATGTATTATACCTATAGCACTCCTGGCCATTTCTGTGGAGAGTGTAATGCCAAGCCTTGGGGGCTGTGCTAGTTATCTCCCCTGCCTCTAGATCCTTGCATGATATTGTTACACCCTGCATGCACATGATTTTTCAGAACAAACGGCAGCCCACCAGATACTAGCAGTGGAGGCGAAAAGGAAGTGGATGATTTTGGCAGAAAAATCTACCGACCATCAGAAACATTTAAACTTGTACATGAACAAGACGATCCCACTCCTAAAAAAGATGAAAATTTCAAATCTAATCCATCACGGACATTTCAGATTTTACAACAGCAGCTAGAACCAGGGTAAACAAATTGTATTGTACAGTGTACATTTGTCTCACTGAATATCTTGCTTCACCGGTCTCATTTCTTACATTACTTTGCTTTAATGATAACGCAACAGAAAGTTTTCTCATTACAACTAATGATAACACACATCACAAAATGCACATGAAAGGCTTATCTTAAATAGGTGAATATTATTTGGCTGGGAACTGTTTCTGCTCGAAAAGAAAACCATTCTACATCTATAGACAAGTGATATTGTACTTATCATACAACTTTGCTGTCAAGCATGAAGAGAAAACAGATTTCAAGGTTAAGTTCTATAGATACTATCATTCCTTGGTGTGTACCAGTTATGTAATACAAGTAGCATGTGTGCATCTGTGCCTGATGGTGTTAATGATTGTAGAAAATGGTGTAAGATAGCTGGAACTTACACTGCATCCAACTAGTTCTAACAACAATTACTAACTTCTTTTGGAGCTGTTTGATTTATATAATGTAAAGATTACATTTCAGTATCGGAGAAAAAAATCATTTTGTTTATTCATTAATTTTTGATAAAAAATATTTAATAATAATTGATATGCAATATCAAAACATTACCTCTTTCCTATTCAAAATTATATCGTTATTTTGTTGTTAGATCTTGATGTGTTATTATATGATAATACAGATTGGAAATATCTGCAATTTTTGTAGTTGGATTTTTGCATAAAAGGTCCCAAAATAATTTAATCAATACAACTATTTCTACTGTATTTCAATTTCTGATTTCATAGTGCAGATATCAATTAATTCAGTTCTGTCTAGCAAGTTAAAGAAACACAAACAAGAAAATGAATAAAAACACCCTTTGGTGGGTTATACAGGTTGTCTCCCTTTGACTTGTGAAGAGTTTATGTTACTAAGATGTGTTTATGTCATTACAGAACAGCTGCCCCTCCACCCCCAGCACCTCCAGGTAGGTACATTGTGTTAACAGTAGAATACAAGGGATTTAAACATGTGTGTACCGGGGGACAGGAAGGGGTGTAACATGTGTGTATACAGGGGGATAGGAAGGGGTGTAACATGTGTGTATACAGGGGGATAGGAAGGGGTGTAACATGTGTGTACCAGGGGACAGGAAGGGTGTAACATGTGTATATACAGGGGGACAGGAAGGGGTGTAACATGTGTGTATACAGGGGGACAGGAAGGGTGGAACATGTGTGTATACAGGGGGTCAGGAAGGGGTGTAACATGTGTGTATATAGGGGGACAGGAAGGGGTGTAACATGTGTGTACCGGGGGACCGGAAGGGTGTAACATGTGTGTATACAGGGGGACAGGAAGGGGTGTAGAATGTGTGTATACAGGGGGACAGGAAGGGGTGTAGAATGTGTGTATACAGGGGGACAGGAAGGGGTGTAACGTGTGTGTACCGGGGGACAGGAAGGGTGTAACATGGGTGTATACAGGGGGACAGGAAGGGGTGTAACATGTGTGTACCGGGGGACAGGAAGGGTGTAACATGGGTGTATACAGGGGGACAGGAAGGGTGTAACATGTGTGTATACAGGGGGTCAGGAAGGGGTGTAACATGTGTGTATATAGGGGGACAGGAAGGGGTGTAACATGTGTGTATACAGGGGGATAGGAAGGGGTGTATACAGGGAGACCGGAAGGGGTGTAATGTGTGTGTACCGGGGGACAGGAAGGGGTGTAACATGTGAGTATACAGGGGGACAGGAAGGGGTGTATACAGGGAGACAGGAAGGGGTGTATACAGGGAGACAGGAAGGGTTGTAATGTGTGTGTACCGAGGGACAGGAAGGGATATAACATGTGTATACAGGGACAGGAAGGGGTGTAACATGTGTATACAGGGGGACAGGAAGGGGTGTAACATGTGTATACAGGGGACAGGAAGGGGTGTTACATATATATGCAGGGAGGGAAACAGTGTTCTATCATTACATATGTATATACAGGGGCAGGAAGGGGTGTAACATGTGTATTTAGGGGCACAGGAAAGTATACCAGGATCAAGATGAGGCACAGAAATGAATGTTGCATGTTTATAAGGGGTGGGGGGATGTTTTCACTAGTCATAGTGACGTCAACCTTCAGGTAGGTTTGTTTTGTGTCTATAGAGGGAGGATACAGTTGTTTTTTTATAAAATAGGAAGTTGCTTTTATTGTGAGTGTTCCCATGGCCGAAGCAGATCTGTACTCAAATAGATCAGTTTTCACAAAAAAATACTTTATATCTTATAAGGTGTCCGCAAATCATGTTTTAAAATGATGTAGCCTGATATAAAATGTCCTGTAAAAAAGCTATGCTGCCTGTTTTACTATGGATAAAATAATGCAGAGTTTATGCCATGACCCATTTGGATACTTGCTGCCCATTGCCAAAACCAGTTGTGCTCATTGTTACATAAGAACATTCTACTAAAACTAGCAGGTAAATTTACCTGTTTGTCATTAATAATTCACCATCTGAATTTTGACTAAGTAGAAAAAAAGCGTGATATGGTAATCTGCCTTGGTACCAAGACATTACATTTAGTCTTCTTGAGAGATGTCTTTATTGACAAGGGCTTAAATATTAGACCAAGATTTTACTACAAAATTCATTGCTTGTTGGTATAATAAGACATATCAATACTATTATATACATGTAGATCATCATCATCAGGATAGTATTACTGTTTATATGTTGAATCTTAATGCTGTCTAACAGTGCTGCTTCTTGAAAACTACAACATTGCTTGTACTAATTCTGACCTTGTTTGCTTGCAATGCTTATGATAATTTAAGCTGACAGCTGGATTAAATGTTTATACTATAACCTAAACAAGAGAAGAGCGCCACTGTCTACCTTTGTGCACCACCCATGGTTCTGTTGATTTGTCAATGTTATGTGCAATGTTTATATTTGTATATGTATTGCTTCAGATACTCAAAAAAATACCTGTTGCTCAACCAAGTTAGAAATTAATTTGCTTATACATAACAAGTATTAACAATAGTTCACTGACTTAACTAACAGCATCGTTCATTACTAAGCTCAACACAAGTACTATAAGGTATAGTGTAGTGTAGGTAACCGTTGGGATGATTTGAGACAGTATACTGGATGTATGCTGATCCATTCCAGCCGTAGATTCACACTCTGTGCCCTCATGGGTACCTGGGGTTAGCAAGCGTCCAGACCTGCCCGTAGAGATTGCTGCGGAGAGGTTGTCTGATGTTCTCCAAGATGCTCCTCAGGACCTTCCTCAGATACAGCCACTCGTTAGCAATGTGCCACCGGATGTGGCTCCACCTCAACCAGCACCCCCTCAGGAGGCTCCAACAGAGTTGCCTATATGTGAGCCACAGGTGGAGGGTGAGTGGGTACACAGCCTGCTTGTAATTCCGTCCCTGTACTGGTCACCCAATGGTGCTGTATGCTGACAAGTGGCATACCTTGTGACTTATATGTTTGATCGGGCATGAAGTCTCCTTTCTGTCACATTGAAAACAGAAAATGAGGACCCACTCCTATGTCTTTGTGTGTGGTGCTACTTACCCATTGTGTACCTCCAAGAAATATTTTGAGTACCTGGTCATTCTGAACTGTGGATGTATGAACTGAGCTGTGCTCGATGGTCCAGACAACTTGTTTTGTCTGAAATAAGATGTTAGACCTGTCCACATACTGCTGAGAATTATTTATTTGTCTGTGATGTTTTACATTTTCATGTTTGTGTTCATCCATGAAATCAGTTTCTTCTGATGTGTTCTTTGACCCTAATTCAGTGTGGCCAATGTGATGTGTGTATGTATGTCTTTGTTAACCTCCAGGCCAAAAAGCATAGGTTTATCCATCAACTCCAGGGTACCCAAGAAATAATGCATTAATTGGAAATTAGAGTGTGATTGTTCTGTAGACAATTCCTTTTATGAGAATATAAATATTTTCCCTTGTAAGATATAATTTGTCCTTGGTATGTTTTTGGTAAGGATTTTTCTTTCTGCACCCTGCATGCTCATGTTCCTCTTGATATGGGCAGTCAGGGTTGTTTAAATAAAAGTAGTTACTGATGTATGATTGAAATATTTTACAGATTGTAAAGGGACTTGGTATCGGTAGCAACTAATATTATTTCACTTACTTAATGGCCTGATGTGATAACTGTTTTGGTCTGGTCATTTTTACTGGAGTTATGTCCCTTCCTATTATCCCTTTACCTTCTCAACTGATGGTTATGATACTTCACATATGTTATCAGTACATCACTTGTGCGCTCACAATTCTTTTTAGATATCCTGTAAGGAGTTTTGCATCTTGTCTGTTTTTCTCCTCATATTTTTTTTTCAGAGAACTTCTAGTTCTCTTCTTGACCAATATTTTTGAAACTTTGTACACTTGTTCAATACTTTAGGCAGTTGTGTACTTGGTAATGAGATAGAATGGATAAAAGGGGAATATGGAAAGAACGTAAAAGATATATTATAAATTAAAGGCTAGGGACAAACATTGATCAATGTTTGAGACGGAGAATCAGGAAATAAATAAATGACAATTGATAACAAAACAGAATAAAGCTATACTGTGCAGATCTGAAAAGTTTTTGCCCAAACTTACGTTTTGCCTTGCATGTATTTAGCCAGAAATGTAATTTTCTTACTCTGAGCATTGATATATTTTCTATAGTTTTGTTCATTTAGTAAAACTTAACAATGTAACCTTGACATAATTTGCACAGCTTCACAATTACTGCTATGATTCCTGTGATAATTAATGATGTAGAAGTACTAATTGTTTACACGGATGTCCGTAACATTTATACAAGTACTAACTTCAGATTGACATTTAGTAATGAAATAGCCAAACTATTTAACTAGACAAATAGACATGTTTGTGTATTAATAAATTACTCCTAATGTGTGATGTCCATATATCAAATATATTGAAATACTTCAAACACTTCATCTACCTTGTAGAAAGTAAACAATTCAGAGATAAATTTATCTTGTAGCACCCAAACCAGCCCCAGCCCCAGCCCCAGCCCAAGCTCCTGCTCCAGTACCCTGGGCCTCTACTGCCCCCAAGGCTGCTGCCGCAGCCCCCAAGGCTTTTGTACCTAAGGTCCAGTCCAAAGCTAGTGCCCCCGGTGGTCCTCGCCCAGGGGATGCTCTACCTAGGCCAACAGGGACTGGAGCCGTAAGGGGTAAGAAGGGAGACGTGACTGTGTACCAGGAGGGACAACCCCTTCCAGGTGGAGCCAGGGTTCCCATCTGTTCTACTTGTGGTAATACCATCAGGTCAGTGCACTGAATATCTTGTTGTTAAAGTCATGGTATGGAATTTTCAACTCACCAGTCTGTCGTCCATCAGGCATCAATATTTTTACTTTAAACAACTTCTTCTCAATAACCAAGATGCCTAGGGTGATGGTATTTTGCCAGTAGCATGCTGGGAGGAAGGACTACCAAGTTTGTTCAAATGAATGACCTTCGCCCATTTTCAAGGTCACATGGGTCAAATATGTTGAAATCTTTAAACTTCTGATGAATAACCAGAAGGCCCAGGATGATAATATTTGGCCAATCACATACTGGCATGAAAGTTTATGAAAATTTATTGGTACACTCTGTAGTTATTTTATAGAAAATTGATTGAAACATATTATATTTTTAGATTTTTATATTCCTTTTATATCAGTTTTTGATTTTGTTACCTTCAGGGGTCCATTTGTGGTGGCAATGCACAAGACATGGTGCCCAGATCACTTTGTGTGTGCCCAGCCCCGTTGTGGTGTGAAGCTTCTTGATATTGGCTTTGTGGAGGAGGGTGGCTTCCTCTACTGTGAAAAGGATTACGAGACCTACTTTGCCCCAAAATGTTCAGTCTGTAGCCAGGCCATTGTTGGGGTAAGGCTTTACTTTCTTTACAATACACTCTCCAAATATTGTTTGTCAAAGTCAATTGGAGCCTCCTTGGGCATTTGAACACTTTCAGAAAGACTTATAATGTTTTAAAGTTTCTCATCGATTGACCCTAAACGTTTATCTTTTACAGGAATGTGTCAATGCTCTGCAGAAGACATACCATCCTGACTGCTTCACATGTCACCAATGTAAGCAAGCCATAGGCGGTAACCAGTTCCATCTGGAGGATGGACATGCCTACTGTGAACATGGTAAGTATGATCCAAACTACTGTGAACATGGTAAGTATGATCCAACTTACTATGAACATTGCAAATAGCCGTGAACATGGTAAGCTCCGGCCCATTATGAACATGGTACTTGCATTTTGTACTGTGATCATATTATTAGGCTCTGACCAACTGTGACTATGGTAAGTAAGATCCGACCAACTGTGACTATGGTAAGTAAGATCCGACCCATTTTGAATATGTTAAGTAAGATCCGACCCGTTTTGAATATGGTAAGTAAGCTTTGAACTACATTTACTATGAAGCTGTGTGTACAAGGTTAATGTTCTAAGGCTATGCATATTTTTTTCATTGCTTTTTCAAATTCCTTGATAGTTTTTTTCCATGAATCCGTACTCAGATTTTTTACCAAAATACCTGTAATATATATGTTTAAACATTGGTAGGTAAAAGCCACTCAAGTTAAATTTAAAGATTTTTGTTTACATCAAATCATTGTTTTACCTAATTTTGTTGAGTTTCTTCAACAGACTGGAAACAAATGTTCCAGACCATGTGCAAGGGATGTGCTTTCCCTATTGAACCTGGCGATCGCTGGGTTGAGGCCATGGGCAGCAACTACCACTCCGAGTGTTTTAACTGCTCCGTAAGTTCTCCTTTGGATTTGTGAAGACACATTTGAAAGCTGTTTTTGGGAATGGAAGAATATTTGCATTTTTATTACAGTTTATAATTGAAATATGTGGATTAGGAAGCTTGTATGTTTCAATTCATATGTAAAACATAATTTAAGAACAAACTTAAGAATATTATGTTAACAGTACTTAGTTTATGCAACTTATCCTAATCATAACACGGTTGTTTTTAATAAGCATTTCTATGATATCATATGTGTTTTCACAAATGCATTTAAATAAAGTTTATCATATTATATCAAAATTAAGTTTTATATTTTTCAGTTTTAATAACTATGTTTTACATACACTGTTTTATCTTACAGACTTGCCAGGTGTCATTGGAGGGACAACCATTCTATGCTAAGGCGGGCAAACCCTACTGCAAGAAACATGCACGATAGAGTTATGTGAAAATGGTAATGTTGACGACCTACCCAACCCCTGTGTCAGCCCGGACAGGGTACCTTGTCACTGCAATGTGAACTTAACGTCGTATATCACCATGACAAGGCTACAACAGACTTCAGGGGATGGAACCAGATATTTTATTCCTCCAACAAGCTATTGACATTCAAAAGACTGTCAACTCCAAATCTACAAACATGAATAAAAGACTGTAAGCCTATACAATTGATCCTCTGAAGAAAGCAAACTCTTATCCTTACTATTGTACACATTAGAACTAGGTTTTAATTTCATGTGTGATAAATTTTAATCCTCGCCAAATATATTATCTTCAATTTGTGTTGCAAGGTAGACAACCCTGTTCTCCAAATCCTCGAAGCTTATTTGTCTGGCAAGCGAGTTGAAAAGGGACATAACTCCCAAATTTATCAATTGCATGCATCTTATTGACGATCAATCCTTATTTGTTAAGCCAAAACAACAGAACATTAACTTAAACCAATTTCTTGATTGGTTGGAGTCCAAGGCAAAGATCTTGTCCTTTAGGTTGCCATGATCCATGCCTGTAGCTGTATGACAGGGTTCTATCGAAATTTTAATACTGATTTTTTTGTATATTTTGTAATTGTATACATAATTTTCAAATAGCATAATATATTTTCCTAATTAATGTCTCGATGATTTACGCCTTATCTTTATTATAAACTTTACTGGTCCCAGTATTGGCTTTAATTCAACGGTGGACATGTGTACGTGTCCATTCCATTGCTATGGTTACCATATGAAATGATCTTATAGGTTGGAATGGAACAAACCAAACGATTGACGTCTTATGACTCCCATACTATAATGTCATCATAATAGCGGGGTTAATGTCCATACAGGTGCTGAGGATGTTTAAACTAATCAGCATTACATTAGTTAGTACAAAACTTACCTGAAAGGTTGGCAAGGATATTCAGTAAACTGGTTGAGGATGTTGTTGACTATCTGATAAATGTTATATGACGTATTTGTCTGTTTGCTTAATATATGGCTTCACAAAAATTGTCATATTTTTTCCTGAACTACTAAATATACAGCTTTTTTCTCATCAGTAAAATTGAACAAATGTTTTATATGCTGCAATTTTTCTCACTTATCTGCAAAATAAAATGAAAGTTTGGCATGTGTTTGACAGGCATTTTAGTATACAAATGCATAGTTCCTGTACGGTTGATCTAGAACAAAGCAGGGACGTATAGTGAATATATACTGTCCCTGAACAAAGGTACATAGTAATTATCTATATATCAATGTATGAGTTAGTGAGACATGAGTGAAGTATAAAACCATTGAAACAGATAGCCTGTTGTATAAGTCACATTATTTTGTGTGGATTTTATGTACATATATGTAAATTAGCAATGCATATAATACAAGCGACTCTATACCATTCTTTGCTAAATGTACTGTAGAATTGCATCTATTTTTAGAATTTAAATGGCTTGTTGTTTGAATTACATTTTCGTATTATTAAGCATTAATTATTTTTACATAAAATTGAATATTTTGATACTGCTGATCATGTTTACAACTAGTAAAGTTTTGGTCTTTATGTCTATTATCAGTCCAAAGGGTTGGGGTCAGAAAGTTGGATGGGATATCAGTGAACACGTCAACAGATGTCTCGACTCTAATACAGATGATAAAGTAAACAACTCTCTGGTGAAGAGGCTTCATTACAGATCTGATCGTTTTTTTTTGTCACACTGAAGATATATTTGTCAATGCCCTATTGGTTAATCAGCCAGTTATGTTTCCTGTAGAGGACCCATCTCAAGCAGAATACAAGATAAACTTAACTACGGTAATATTTACATACCAAGGGAAACACTATCTCATGTTCACCAGGGACCTTACCGATAGTTTATTGTATTAAAAGAAACACAACTTATGATGTGACAAATGTGTTAAAGATTTTAATCAGGTTATATAGGCTGATATAACCTGCATTTAGGTTATAATGTAAAATAGACAAATTATATTTATACATTGTATGTAAGCTTATTCACTGCCAGGGTATGACGTAGGTACTAACATGGTTGGTGTATGTGTTCCCGTGTAGCTCCATGTGTACCCATATATATTTATCTACATCAATGGCAAGTGTATCGCTGTCTTACATACAGGCATCTTATACAGGGTTCAGGCCGACTTTACTCCCATAACATATTTTGTTGATATGTATTTTTTTTTTTAAATCGGTAGAAGAAATATTATTTGCCAAATCGTGACCTTTTAAAACATGATGTGATTACCTGTCATTGAAAAGAGGAATGTTACTAAGTCAAAAAAGTAAAACTTTCATAAAAAATGTCCAGATTGTTGTTTCTGTTTTCCTTTATGTAGCCTACACGTACCTATTTATATCGGGAGTTCAAAATCCCGTGCTCGGATGTTTACAAATCTATCTCGGAGACAGCCTGTTTTTATATGGGACGTCTGACTGGAGCTGAAAGATACACAATCACATGCTACAGTACGCTTCAACAGCTATTCCTTTGGGTGCTTACTGAATATCATAACTGATAGCTTTGTTGATAAAAAGCTGTCAATTGTAAAACCCCAGATATATACAGAACATATTCATATTTAAGTCGGTACTTGATATCACAACTGCGTAGGAAAAGGGGATAATTATAGAGGACCAGCAAACAGTTTTCGTGTTTACTCTGATAACAGGTATACACGTTCTATTGTGCCAGATTACAGGTATACACATTCTATTGTGCCAAATTGCAGGTATACACATTCTATTGGGCCAGATTACAGGTCTAAACATTCTATTGTGCCAGAGGTATACTCGTTCTATTGTGCCAGATTATAGGTATACACATTCTATTGTGCTAGATTACACGTTTACACATTCTATTGTGCCAAATTGCAGGTATACACATTCTATTGGGCCAGATTACAGGTCTAAACATTCTATTGTGCCAGAGGTATACTCGTTCTATTGTGCCAGATTACAGGTATACACATTCTATTGTGCCAGAGGTATACACGTTCTATTGTGCCAGATTACAGGTATACACGTTCTATTGTGCCAGATTACAGGTATACACATTCTATTGTGCCAAATTACAGGTATACACATTCTATTGTGCCAGATTACACGTTTACACATCCTATTGTGCCAGATTACAGGTATACACATTCTATTGTGCCAGATTACAGGTATACAAATTCTACTGTGCCAGACAATTATAATGTTGGGGATAGGAAGCTGAGCTCATTTCGCTTGCATCATAAATACGTCTTCTAAGAGGTGAATAAAACACCAAAAAGGCATAACAAAACTGACCTAAACTGTTGTATTTGTTCAAGTAATTGCCGTTGTTTATCGGTGTTATTAATGTTAGTGATTAATATTATGAAATAGAAAACTAACCAAGAACATTCTAGTTATTTCAATCCTGCTTTTGACCTACAGTGACCTTTATATCGACGGCAGTTGACGAACATTGTGAAAAACGCAAATCTAAGATTGCATTCACTACAAAGGTAAACATATTTTAACTTAGAGATCTGGTGTGGTGATTTGTTTTTAATCCATTTAGGTCCATACACATGTTTATACATTACACATAAACGAGTAACATCACTCGCGGTATTCCAGCAGTAACTTATCTTTATGAGCAGCAGTCTTGTATCGATATACGAGAAAGAATATATTTTCTTCAATATCGTATTTAAAGAACAATTTTTATGAAATAAAAATACATTTTAGAAGCAGCACTGGGGCATTTTCATTTAGGCATGACACGGAATTAGATTGTTATCTAAGTCCGTGAGCATGCATACATAACATTTTGCTAATTTACTCATATTTTTTGCGAAGTACAATGTGTTATCTCTACATCTATGTACGACAACACCAGGTATCGGTTCAATAAAAGATAGTCTTTCAATCGATATGCGTAGTCTATCAATAAATGTACGCTAACTAGGAAAGCAATATACATGTACCAATCTGATTGAACCATATACCAGTATACACCCCGGAAAAATATCACACATGTCAACAATCACTTAACCTCCAACTATAAAGAAATAATTGAATTTGTTGGAAAAACCGGCACTGCTTGTGAAGAAAAATACAGACACGGTCCTGCAAATACAAAGACAGATTTTGACCTGACTCTGGTGCAAATCTGATGGACAGTAAATTAATATTGCACAGATACATTAAGTGTCCTTGCAAACAGTCAATGGACGGCAGTGCATGTGATCAGAAACAGGAATACCAGTTTTTCCCTAATTTGGTCAATCAATAAATCAGGTGATCTATATTCAGCTGTAGATTTGTTACGCTCGATAAATCAAATAACTCGACAAATTTATGAAAATAACTTGCGCGGCGAACTATGCTATGGTGTTCATACATGGTCACAAAAACACTGTCCAAGATACCAACTACTGGATGGCTGCATATATTTAAACATATTATCAATTACCTGATGCACCCTCTTCTAGGAATGATCTGGCAGGGAGAGGATACTCCTCTAGGCCTGGAATAATGGTTACACAGTAAAGATGCCAAAGAAGGGCGATCTCCTGGAATGCTGTGTCTACAAGTATACACATTTAATGGATACAGCTGGTAGGATAGATCAAGAAATCAAAGAAGCTAAGAATCAAATCAATGACCACATCGTGTTTACACATAAAAGTAATTATATTACCTTTATTCCACTTAATGTAAAGGTTTTTTATGGGGGTTATATTTGGCAAAATATTTATTAATCGGATAAAAGACGAAAACGAATACACATTTGTGTTGTTCAAAATCATGAACTTGGCCAGTTTTTACTGTTCAGTCAAAACTGCATGAGATGAGGCTTGGTTCTTCTGAATTCATCCTCTATTTCTTGATATCTTAACAAACATGACAGACCTACAAAAAACTTTTAAAACGGGAAAATGAAATTAAAGCTTTGAAGTAATTTCTTGTGTTATAATACAAATTATATAAATGGTCAATTTTGACTTAAAATAGCTCATAATAAACCATGCTGGCCAAACTACAAGTCTGATTAGATTTAGCCTGAGAAAGCAACATTGGTCATGTATGAAAGTTAATTAGGAATACCATACTTTAATCAATTAATCATAAACAAATATGCTTTTCTGGATCAGGTAATATTACTTTACTTCTTTAAAAGGCATCACAAGCAAAATAACTTCAATTTGAGGTTATATTTTAGCCATACTGATAGTTCAATATTTTCAATGCCAGCATCTGATTCAACTGTTTGTACACTGCGCTTACTATGAAATCATTTATTTGTGTACTCTTCACCAACGAATTCATAGGTCGACGAAGTCATTATAAGTTTGGCATAAAGCTATTCTCCCGAAAATATGTGATCTCACAAGACGAGGTCTTGCGATACTGTTAATTTCCAATACTCGATATCTCTTAACAGATATCGGTATCTCTTAACAGATATCGGTATCTCTTAAAATATATCGATATCTCTTAACAGATATCGGTATCTCTTAACAGATATCGACATCATACTTCAAAACTGTTCACAGTAGTTTGATTATTTTTTTTATCCCAATGAGTGTAATTTTTGGCAAGTTTGATATTGTTAGACATTCTTTTGTGTCGACAATAACCTTCTCATCTTCATGAAACCAAATTTTCAGCAGTTCAATGTTATCGATAACATTTTTTTGTAATAGCTGCATTATTTACGCTTCCAAAATCAGGCCCGATAATGTCTAGCACGTATCCAACTAGTAATACAATAGACATGAATTTCTTTGGAATTTCCAGTCAAATAATCTTGTCGCCATTTCTCAGGAGAGGTATTTCTTAGAAGGGATTGGAGAGGTGTTTCTCAGAAAGGGTTGGAGAGATGTTTCTCAGAAAGGGTTGGAAAGATGTTTCTTGTATTTCTTACCTATGCTTCTCTTGGTTCTTAATTGTACATGTTTCATTTTGAATGTGATCACAAGGAAATTATTCAAACTTGACAGTTTCAGATTAACGAAGTATTGATCTTTCCCAGATGTCATAAAAAGCTTCTTTCTCTTTTCAATATATCTTGTTCTTTTTTTTACACATTACTATTTTAGTCTAAAGGTAAAAGACAACCTTAATATGTAAGGACAATGTCAAAAACTGTAGTATGATGTTTTTATAAAAAACTGCTTCTTGATGCATTTGCTGTTTAGGCTTTCAAACCAACTGATCAGAGATAATAAGAGAAAATATCAAACTAACCTACAACCTATGAAACAACTGACATTGGCGGAGGATAAGATTCCCTTAAATCTCTTTTTTTGACAAGGAAACTAATATATTATTTATAATATCCACAAATCATTACTTGCACCAGTATCAAAGTCTTTTTTATAGTCTGTCCAGCTCAAGAAGCCATCTATGTGAAGCCCAGATAGAATATGACCATCTGATGAAAAAAACCCAACTAATACAGCTATTTGAGAAGTTCAAGATCTGTATTGACTTGAAGTCTTACGACTTATCAGTGTATGACAGGTATGACTTGTTCTTAACCAAAAGGTGCAGAGAGGAGAATTCGTATTCACATAGGTATCGATTTAAATGTTTAAACAGATATTTGTTATACATCTTGTTGTAATGGTCATATTGTTATGGTTATTGACTGAAAAGAAGAGATAATAATGGAAATATTCTTCGAAATCCAATAGTTTTGCCCTCGGCACTCGTATCTACGTGTGTAGAGAATACACGTTTATCGAGAGAACAAACCATTGCATTCCAAAGATGGATGTATGTGTTCTTCTTCAGCTCTCTTCTCTTGTTCTTGTCCTATTTCTTTTCTTCGTTATTTTTTAGTCGCAACATTTTGTGTGACAAGATTCATGACACTGTGCTCGATTCTTAATGAACCAGTCAACATTTGTATCCTCTTACGTTCATGATATTTGTATTTCCGCCATTGCCTTGAGTTTAGATTATTCAACAGTGATTCTTTTGATTCTGATTTGTTGTCAGGTTGTAGTGATTATAATGAAGGGACATCCGAGTGATTCAGTGGTCGGCTGTTATCATACACAGTATCTGATCCATTGTTATCAGTCAATTAACAAATCATTATATAAACTGTAACAAGATGCTCAAAACAACTATAAATCGACACCTATTCAACCCGGTTTTTAGAGTTTCTTCCGTCAAACAGATGTGATAAGATTAAAATATCAATAGAGAAATCATGTTAGCAGTAAGAAATGATTAGAAGAATTTTTCTTAACCTACTTTTTTCCTTATATTGAATAATGATTTATTTCTCATTGGAATTAATCAAAATAAAATGCCAACACATTGTCAAATGGTGCGGGTTGAATCATACTAATTAATCATATCACATGCACGTTCCAAAATAGTGTGACGGGTGGTCACATGGGTTCATTCAATTATCGTCCCATCTATGCATCTTGTTACAGAAAAAATCTCTAAAGCTCTAATGTTTTGGTGTAATTAATCTCCCGGGGAGATCCTGGATGGTATATGTGTATTCTTTGTCCTAGACAGATGATCCCATAACTAGTAGTTATGGCTAAACATGTAGCCTACCATAGGTTCTCATTAGTTATATGTAGTTTGATACTACCATAGTAAGCTAGGTCCTCATTAGCTATATGTAGTTTGATACTACCATAGTAAGCTAGGTCCTCATTAGTTATATGTAATTTGATACTACCATAGTAAGCTAGGTCCTCATTAGTTATATGTAGTTTGATACTACCATAGTAAGCTAGGTCCTCATTAGTTATATGTAGTTTGATACTACCATAGTAAGCTAGGTCCTCATTAGCTATATGTAGTTTGATACTACCATAGTAAGCTAGGTCCTCATTAGTTATATGTAGTTTGATACTACCATAGTAAGCTAGGTCCTCATTAGCTATATGTAGTTTGATACTACCATAGTAAGCTAGGTCCTCATTAGTTATATGTAGTTTGATACTACCATAGTAAGCTAGATCCTCATTAGCTATATGTAGTTTGATACTACCTTAGTAAGCTAGGTCCTCATTAGTTATATGTAGTTTGATACTACCATAGTAAGCTAGGTCCTCATTAGCTATATGTAGTTTGATACTACCATAGTAAGCTAGGTCCTCATTAGTTATATGTAGTTTGATACTACCATAGTAAGCTAGGTCCTCATTAGCTATATGTAGTTTGATACTACCATAGTAAGCTAGGTCCTCATTAGTTATATGTAGTTTGATACTACCATAGTAAGCTAGGTCCTCATTAGCTATATGTAGTTTGATACTACCTTAGTAAGCTAGGTCCTCATTAGTTATATGTAGTTTGATACTACCATAGTAAGCTAGGTCCTCATTAGCTATATGTAGTTTGATACTACCATAGTAAGCTAGGTCCTCATTAGTTATATGTAGTTTGATACTACCATAGTAAGCTAGAACCTCATTAGCTATATGTAGTTTGATACTACCTTAGTAAGCTAGGTCCTCATAAGCTATATGTAGTTTGATACTACCATAGTAAGCTAGGTCCTCATTAGCTATATGTAGTTTGATACTACCATAGTAAGCTAGGTCCTCATTAGTTATATGTAGTTTGATACTACCATAGTAAGCTAGAACCTCATTAGCTATATGTAGTTTGATACTACCTTAGTAAGCTAGGTCCTCATAAGCTATATGTAGTTTGATACTACCATAGTAAGCTAGGTCCTCATTAGCTATATGTAGTTTGATACTACCATAGTAAGCTAGGTCCTCATTAGTTATATGTAGTTTGATACTACCATAGTAAGCTAGGTCCTCATTAACTATATGTAGTTTGATACTACCATAGTAAGCTAGAACCTCATTAGCTATATGTAGTTTGATACTACCTTAGTAAGCTAGGTCCTCATAAGCTATATGTAGTTTGATACTACCATAGTAAGCTAGAACCTCATTAGTTTAATGTAGTTTGATACTACCATAGTAAGCTAGGTCCTCATTAGTTATATGTAGTTTGGTTCTATCTTAGTAAGCTAGGTCCTCATTAGTTATATGTAGTTTGAAACTTCCTCTTATCTATTGGATTGATAATCTTATTAACAGTGAATACGATGTGTGGTAGATTATGTTATCAAACTTTACCCTTAACAATGTTCTTTCAAAGTGAGGCGTTACTTCGAAAGAGATTTGTTTTTATCTCGGATGACTTGAAGCCAAGCTAGGTGGGAAAAAAAGACAAACAATCATTCTCTCTCCCCATCCTCATCACCCCCTTTTTCGTATTTTTCTTTCTACTCAAGGTACATTTTTTATCAATTAATAGGTCATGTGCAGATAATATACCTTACAAATATATGTTACAGATTCAAACCTACAGGTAGATAAAGACAGACCTTCTGACCGACATTATTTCAATGTCGTCTATAAGAAGGGTCCCTCCGACATAAAAGATTGCTCAGCAAAAACGACATCCACTGATTGTCGAATGCAGTTGTTCGTTGTATATGCTAATTCTAAATATGGTCGTACTATGGAATATCGTGTTCCTGTGGTCCATATAAAGTAATTGTGAACAATTCGTGTTGTAAACACGTTCGTTATCGATAACATCCCTGGTATAATACGTACAACGGTAGTGCTTCACGTGTTGGAGACAGATACAGATACCAAATTACATCTACTAACTCCACGCACAAGATTTCGTTACAAATGTCTGAATTATATACATTGTGTATGCCACACTGATATTAGTCACAGCACATCTAAGCATATGAGCTATGACCTTTATAAGTTTAGCATACATGTATGTGTATTTCAGACATTTGTGGCGAACCCATATGTAGTGCATGTAAGTAGGTCAATTGATTGGTGCCTTTGTAATCTAGTTTCACTGCGGTTGCGCATATGAATTAAAGCCTAGCAAGTACAAGTTGATAAACACTGGTCGTAGGATAAGACCTGATTCAGCCGGTTCAATAGTGAATGTAGAATCAACTATGGCAGCAGCATTGTGGTCTACAAAAGTATGCGTGTCTACCATCACACGGGGTAAGTCGGTTATTTTAGTCACTTTACATTATTGTAGCGTCCCTGTAGCCGTATAGCGTTCTGGGGTCTCCTCTCTATATATGCTCGCATGCTACCGTAATACGATCCATACGGACATTGACATTTCGATAGTGGACCGTTTCATTGAAATCTGTTTTTATCTCGTTATGTGTTTTAATTTCCATTCAAGTTTAAATGTAGGGATTGTTCATCTCGGCATCGTGAGTGGAACACTTACTTTACGTATACCGATATATTTTTTAATTTATTTACTAGTTAACAATGCAGTTTGAAATGTCAGAATAATAAACTTGATAACCTTTCCGTTTAATTTTAAGGTCAAAGTTATAAAAATCATAACTTTCCCCCTGTACTTGTACCTACCTATATATTATCTTACCAGATAACACGGAGGTGTAGTAATGTTGCATAGGCCAACAGACGGTCCATAAGTCACAGGGTATATATACTATAGGTAACCTTGAACTAAAATGACTCCATCATCAGTGAAAGAGTCAAACGAATATTTTGTACACATTTAAAATGATGCATCGATATGTATGAACTATATATAAAGTCAGTTTCTTCTTTTGCAAAATGAGAAAGAAAGAAATTGGACTTGTACTCTTTTGTCATAAATTGTTCTTGATGGCACAAATATCACAGAACACTGAATGATTTTTTGCAACAGTGAATATGGCTCATTCTGTTTATGACAGTTTGTCTGTTATTGCACTGTAACTTTAAAGACCCGCCGTTTTTAGCAGTGTGCTATGCGAACAAAGCACTGAAGTAACGGTCATTGACCTCTTTACCTTGACGTCGTAATCATAATGTTTAGCTGGCCGAAACTTGCTGTTGGCTGCTTCGTGTGTGAAATGAATATCGATTTGATGTCAAAATCAGTGTTAAATATAAAACAGCATTCTGTTTTAGAGTTGCAATCATTTAACTATTCATATAAGTAGCTAACTGGCGTTAATTGATTTCACGATCTGCTACCCTGTTTATATGTATATGCCTATATAATCTGAACACTGTGTAGTGTTGTTTAATGCTTGATATTTTTTTACCAAATAACTGGGTTTCTCTCGCTTCAGTAAATTTACTTCCTTAGGACAGATCATCGATACAACCTGAAATTAAACCAAGCAATACTTACGTCAACAATATAAATAATGTTTTAAAATGATTTAGCCAAATTTATATTAAAATATCGAATTAAATATTGGTGAAAGGTAGGTCACCTCATTTCTCTGTAACGTTGTGATTTGACATACAGCTGAGTGAAATTTAAACGTGTGCAAATTGATGACGTCATTAGTAAATATCTTACAGGTTTGAGAAGATACGGGACCCCAGCTTCTGCCAAAGCGGTGTTGAAATCAGACCCCTTGGAACCTGACAAACCCAGTGTCCAAACCGAGATCCCTGGACCTAGATCTCGCGAGCTACTTAAGGAGCTAGACACTATCCAGGTAGGTCAGTCACATCATACATGCTTTTCAATATATTCATTGAAGTTTGAACACGTTTATTGTAAAACAGGCAACTTTTTTGTGCAGTGTCGACTTGCTGGAACTGAATCAGTAACAGAGAAGCACGATATTTTACAAAATGGAGATACCTAGCGGTATAACATAACTTGTGAATTGTAACGTTTAATTTGCACGTGATATTTGATCTCTGGTGAGGATGAGATAACCGTTTAATTCCCTCCCGTTGACGCCACTACTTGTCACCAGGCTCCATGTTCAAAATAAAGCTCCGGGTAGTGTGATATAGGTTCAGATTGTTTGATTCCGGTTGATTATTTCAACATCAATGCAAATCGGTCTGCTGATGTGATATAAGTTTTAGATTGTTTTTCGCGTAAGGTTTACATGGGATTAATATTGTGACATTACTGTTGTATTCGTACCAGTACAGTCGGTACACATACGCTTCACAAATATAGAACACTGGACAGCTATCTCAGCTTGGGTACTTTTTATCTTGGAACAAAACACATGCATGAACAATTCGAGGTCACTCACATGCTTCACTCACAGTCATTCGCACGCTTACAGAACGTCAACAAACACCACATTACTTTTAATTCGGTTAATATTAGTAACCAAGGTTGCTGATTCAGTGTATGGCATAGTTTTTCGTTAAATACAGCGTACGTATATGTAACAAAATGTGGTATACATGTGTATCAGGGACAGGGCTAGGGGGAATTATTGATATACAGATCATCATGATGTGTTTAAAGTTGTCATGTTTTGTGTGTTGTAGAACACTGAAGCAGTCCAGTTTTTCGTTGACTATGAGCGAAGTCGCGGGAATTACTTAGTCGACGTGGACGGGAATGTTATGCTTGACCTGTTCACTCAGATCGCCTCAATTCCTATAGGTACGTACTTAAAACATGTTCCGCAAGTATCACACTACTTGTAGGATTTGTACACGCAGATCGTCTATTTTAAATGATGTTTATGTTTAGTGTTTTGAGGTTTTCAATTGTCTTATAATGATTACGAACGCCGTTCAATTCTGTATCGCATCATTTTCGTATTGTTATGCTTTCTCTCCCTGTCCATACACAATAGCTATACCGGTGGTAGGCCCAGCTCATACCATGCTAAAGGTTATTACGTGCTCCGACATATGAGCAAGGTATTCATTATCCCTTTTTCATTTTCTCAGTCCTTTCTAGACTGTTCCTATATTATTCGGAGGCGTCGGATGCGGCATAATTCAGCCAACACTTATGGGCAGTTTTATTGAGAAGCCACTTATGACAAAACTGTATGTATTAAGTTTTACAAACTACGTCCTGGCTGTGTCCTATAAGAGGGACCGTATACTTATCAGCGGACATGTGCTGTTTGACACTCCTGTCACAAGCGTGACTTCGCCTTCTAAGGACAGTAATAAACTATCTCGTACAATCATTATTTTTTTTTATCTCACCTTGTTCAGAGAACCGGTCACTGTACGCCATGACACAGTGTCCGTCGTCCCCCTACCCGTATGTTTAAAACGATACTACCCAACATCCATATTTAAAAAGAAAATCTTCTGAAGAGGAGCTTGATGCTTTTTTTTTTTTTTTATCCGTACGAAGGCTTTAACGTAAGAAAAATAGGAANATATTTAAAAAGAAAATCTTCTGAAGAGGAGCTTGATGCTTTTTTTATCCGTATGAAGGCCTTAACGTAAGAAAGATAGGAGAATTAAATGTTTTATGAGGAAGTAGGAGGACCGACGCCTAAATTTGGCAAAATGAGGCAATTTACTCTTCACAATTAAAACCCTAGTCCTACCAAAATGCACGGGTTGTTGCGATATTGCGTCTGAATAAAACATCACTACGACAGAGATGATCGTTTTTTTTGTTTTAAACGAAGTTGATACCACCACTTGTATGCCCAATATAAGGCAAAATATTAAAAACCCTACTCCTCTTGAACGACTGCACAGATTGTAACTTTAGTTCGTCTGAAACATCACTTAAACAAGATGATCATAGCGTGTTTAAATGAATACTGGTTGATAATTTCATTTGAGGATTGTTTTCCTTCCTGGACTCCAATTTCATCCGCTGTCCTTAGGTCAGAATTGTAACCATTTTTGTTTTATTAGCTTGCCTATTCATAGAATATGGGGGCTAATCTAAATAAAGTTAACCCCACGGTGGCCTACCCGTTCACGTCCCATTTCAGGTAAAAGTTTTTGAGCAAGTGTTTTTTGTGCAGTGTTAGATCCCCACGCTTAATAGGCCTTTCTCTATTATAAAGGTTGGGGTATTTATAGGGTGTGTAAGGATTGTCCTGACCATATTTTCATATTTTAGGGCCAAAACAGCTTAATTTGACTCGGTTAAAGTTTTTGAGCATGTTTTGGTTTTGTACAGTGTTATATCATGCCACCTTATAGACTATAGACCATTATAAGGTGCAGGCATTTATATAAAGTGTAAGGATTGTGCTGAACCTTATTTTTCTATCTTTGAGCAATCTTCAGGTGAAAGCTGATTTAGCTTCTTTTTTCCCCTGCAATTTCATAACACCACACCCAATAGGCTGATGACTGTTTTAAGACTGGATGATTTATGTGACGTGTAAGCAATGTGCTAAACTCTATTTACATTTTTAGGGGCCGAAGGGATTACTTTAAATTCGACTTGGTGTGGAACATTTTATGACGTCATGCAGTTTTCAAAAATTCCGATTATTATTAATCGCCTTGTTTTCTAAAGACATATGACTTTTCTGATCACGTGAACTTGTAGTTCAAACCATTTAGGCGAGAGTAAAGTACCTCAATTCAATTAAGTCCTGGTATAGACAAGTTCAGTATTGAGTAAGTCTTGGTGTTTTTTCTCAATAACTGTATTCAATGAGAAATTGTGCCCCCAAANTTCAATGCCCCAATTAAATGCACCCAATTCAATGCCCCAATTAAATGCACCCAATTCAATGCCCCAATTAAATGCCCCCGATTCAATGCCCCAATTAAATGCACCCAATTCAATGCCCCAATCCAATGCCCCCAATTCAATGCCCCCAATCCAATTCTTAATAACTAAGATAGTTTTTAATTTCTCGTTGTTATTGTTCTAATGAACTTTTCAAGGGTTGCACATTTTAATTATTGCCTTTAAAGATTCTCTGAAAATAGGAAACTTGTATATTAACATGTTTTACAATCAGAGAGACGTGTTAGACATTTTACTAGTTTCCATTTCAATATTGACAAAGCTATAATTCTACTAATAGTGTTCTGATCATCAAACAAACGTGTTAAACACTTGAGTTTGTACATAACATTGATGTTTTAGGGTACAACCACCCGAGATTGCTTAATGCCTTGCTGAAAACTGAAAACAGGGTATGTATTTTACACCTATATGGGGTGTATGGGTGTGATTTAATATACTTATAATATAGACTGCATCTGTAATACAAGATATATTGATTATTTACTGTGGCAGTAACTAGGAAACTCTGTCAGGAACATCTGCCGCCATTGCTAAAAATTACGCGTTTCTATCGATTGTCCTACAACATTGCAAAATACATCAAATTGGCAAATATTAGAATTATTTTTTAACGCATCTGTGGTTACGATCTTGTAAGCATGGCGACATTCTGAGGTTCAAGGTATATTATTCCACCATAATCCACGTATGTGTGTGTATTATGGTGGAATACATAACGAGGGTGAGAAAATATTTTAAACATAATCAACGTCGGCCGCTTGCAGCCCGAGTTGTTTATTTTTCCGACATTTATGAATCGGGTGAAACGCATGAAATCATAATTTGACAGATTCACAAACATAATTTCAAGTCACCTTCGCGGTAACTCTCCTGGAGAGTCGAAGACGATGGGAACAGGAATGATCCCCTTTCACAGAAATTCATGTTCTGATAAATGTCACCTCGCCTGATCAACTCGCTTCCTGATCCAGCTCCAAGTCAGGTCGAAGACGTAAACACATTGGAAAAATAGTTCTCGTGAATGGGGGAAAAGATGCAATCTAGTATTGGTTAGTGATACAGGAGCAACTGAAATATCATAGATTTGTCCGTTCGTGTTTATGACGGAGACATAGTATGTCCGTTTTCTGTGTTATCGAAAAACGAACTGTTATGATGCCCGTCCGTCCTTCTGTCCGTCCTTCCATGAGTGTGAGATTAGTACGATACATTTGTATGTCCGTCTGTATGATTTTAGGCTAGAGCTGACCTATGATGTATTCTATTTTACAGGCTACACTCGTCAACCGCCCAGCTCTTGCTGTGTATCCACCAAGTGACTGGAGTTCGCGACTCAAAAATGCTCTTCTTGCGGTAAAGTCAATTTCTCTAGATTGTTTGAAGTGCCCTCAACTTGTCTAGGTAGCATGCTTGTCCAAATAACGATATGTTTCGGTATGGATAGACTTGTGGAAATGCCTTATTTCCGATGGTGTTTTACTGCAAAACAAACACAAAATCAATTGTTTTATTCCTTGTAACATCCTCCTTTAAGCTTCATTTTTTATCTTACATTCTTCCTACAGTATTTGATACCAAGAATAATGCATTATCTCAGAACGTTGTATTCTCGGCATGTCCTTACATCAAAACGTCTTATTCAAAACAACGTTTTACTCCCTGTAACCTGGTACTTCCGATAACATTATACTCTTCGAAAAGCTCGATATCAAAAGGTCTTACTGCATGTAACATTATTCCAAATGCTGCTCATCATGCCCTGACCGTTTGCTAAGTAAGAACATCATGGTAGTATTTCCAATGCCGTTATTAAGTTTTATTCGCAATAATGCTTACCTCGGTCCTATTATTGCTAGATAACAGCAATCACAGATAATTGTGTACTACCAATAATGTCCTAATCCCCGTAGTGTGTTTATACCAGTGAGGTCATACAGCGGTAACGCTACTTCTGAGTATTGTATTTACATCCTAACGTAATGCTTCTTCGTGCAACATATTCTTTTACCAGTAATTACGTCATATTCACGGCAATTTCTTACTTCCCGTCATGTCCTTTACCCAGTTACGTCCTAGTATCGGTATCGTCAAACTCTCGGTGACGCCTCTTCCACCAATTTCATTATTAATGTTACGACATATTCTTGGTATCGCTACTCATGGATGGTAACGTTGGTTTTTCAACTGACATCACACTCTTTTTGGCAACACTCTGTAGTTCTTTCATAAGTGGTAGCATTACAACACTTCTCGATAACCTGAACTATCGACAATGTCGTTCACATGTGACATACATTGCCATAATTATATGAGTTACTAGCCAAAAGTCGACTGGCGACGTCGTCCTTGATTTAAACATATTCTATCGTTACACTGTTCACTGTAATAAGCGTACTGCTATCATTTTTCAAGTAACGTCAGCAATATGGGACTTCTGTCATGCACTTTCTGTTTTAATCAAGAAAGATAGTTGAAAGATCTTACATTGATAGTGATGCAAAATAAACTCTCGTTTTGAAGGTGGCTCCCCCTGGCCTGAAACAAGTCCAGACAATGGCGTGCGGAGCATGTTCTGTAGAACATAGCCAGAAAGCTATGTTTATTGCATACCAGGTAAAAGTTATTTCTACAGTGTCCTCTAATGATAACTGTCCATTTAGGAACCCTGATAGCTCTCAACTCCATACTGTATCTATTAACATCTTGGTAGGTGCACTGACGTATGTTTATATCTAAATATACTAGGTGGTGGACTCTGCTGTTGGATGTCTTAGTCTTAGAGGTTTGCCGTACCTTGATAACCACAATTATCTCATTTCAAAAGTGGCACGGTTCATAAAATATAAACTGTACTCATTATTGATTAAAATATCAACCAGTATTTTTCTCTTGTTTTTAAAATACCTATTTATTTAGGCATTTTGCACAATTCCCCTTCTATTTCAATTTGGATCTCAACATTTCCCCCTCCCCCACCCCCTAGCATCACCGAGACAGCTACATAGTGCAGTGTAAGTCATTTGTTGCATTCTGTTTCTATTAAAAATGTAAGTGCAATCACGTGTGTACTTAACATTCATCTCTAAAGACTCTGTATTAGGTGTGCAAAGAGTTGAATATGTGTTTAACTGGTCATATATTTCTATCGTTTTTGCTCATAAAAGTGTATTTGTTGTTGCTCTCAGCGCCGTCAAAGAGGTGGACGGCCCCCCTCACAAGAGGAGCTCCAGTCGTGCGTTGAAGGACACGCCCCTGGATGTCCCGATCTGTCGGTCCTATCGTTTAAAAACGCTTTTCACGGCAGAACCATGGGTACGTTGTAGCACCTTGCCGAATGTTTACAAAGTGAATACTAAATACTGTTACTAGAAAATGTTCGCCCCATTTTAATTTTCGCCTGCTTTGGCCGTCCGTTATCAGGGCTACTTTATCATGACAGCAAATAACATTACACAGAATACCATACATTAGTAATGACATATGAAAGGCGAGATAGATAATGTAAAAACATGGATTTTCAGGGGAAAGACAAAATTTTAACAGGACAAAAATTTGCCGGTTAACGGTAAATAATTATCAAAATATAGTAAGAGAAGGTTTCGACTGTACTAGTGCTCCGACGACGTTCAAATATTAAATTGATGTTTAATTGTCAGAAGGCTGTTGTTTATTTAGGTGCCCTAGCTGTAACCCATACGAAGTGGATCCACAAGTTGGACTTCCCTGTGCCGGATTGGCCATGTGCCAGCTTCCCAATCTTGCAGTATCCCTTAGACCAGTTTGTGAGGGAGAACCGGGCCGAGGAAGACCGTTGTTTAGATGAGGTGTGTAAGGCTGAATTCAAATACCTTGGTTTCTAACTTAACTACATCATTCTTGTCCATAACCATGCCCCTCTAGTCCGTAGCTTTGCCTTTCTTGTCCCTTACCATGCGTTTGGTCCCTAGCCATGCCTGTCTGGTCCTTTACTATGCCTTTTGGTCCCTAACCATGTCTGTCTGGTCCCTTACCATGCCTGCTTGGTCCCTAACAATGCCTGCCTGGTCCCTTACCATGCCTGCTTGGTCCCTTACAATGCCTGCCTGGTCCCTTACCATGCCTGCCTGGTCCCTTACCATGCCTGTCTTGACCCTTACAATGCCTGCCTAGTCCCTTACAATGCCTGCCTGGTCCCTTTCCATGCCTTTTGGTCCCTAACCATGTCTGTCTGGTCCCTTACCATGCCTGCTTGGTCCCTAACAATGCCTGTCTGGTCCCTTACCACGCCTGCTTGGTCCCTAACAATGCCTTTCTGGTCCCTTACAATGCCTGTCTTGTCCCTAACAATGCCTGCCTAGTCCCTTACAATGCCTGCCTAGCCCCTTACCATGCCTGCCTGGTCCCTAACGACGCCGGTCTGGACTCTTACCACGAATGCCTGGTCTCTAACAATGCCTGTCTGGTCCCTTACCATGCCTGCTTGGTCCATAACAATGCCTTTCTGGTCCCTTACCATGCCTGTCTTGACCCTTACAATGCCTGCCTAGTCCCTTCCAATGCCTGCCTTGTCCCTTACCATGCGTGCCTGGTCCCTTACCATGCCTGTCTGGTCCTTTACCATGCCTGTCTGGACCCTTACCATGCCTGCCTGGTCCTTAACGTCGCCGGTCTGAACTCTTACCATGCCTGCCTGGACTCTAACAATACCTGTCTGGTACCCAACCACGCCTGTCTTGTCCCTTACCATGCCTGCCTGGGCCCTAACGACGCCGGTCTGGACTCTTCCCATGCCTGCCTGGTCTCTAACAATGCCTGCCTGGTCCCTAACAACGCCGGTCTGGACTCTTACCACGCCTGTCTTGTCCCTAACATTGCCTGCCTAGTCCCTTACAATTCCTGCCTTGTCCCTTTCCATGCCTGCCTGGTCCCTTACGATGCCGGCCTGGTCTCTTACAACGCCTGTCTGGTCTCTAACAATGCCTGTCTGGGCCCTAACCACGCCTCTCTTGTCCCTAGCAATGCCTGCATAGTCCCTTACCATGCCTGCCTGGGCCCTAACGACGCCGGTCTGGAGTCTTACCATGCCTGCCTGGTCCTTAACGATGCCGGTCTGGACTCTTACCATGCTTGCCTGGTCTCTAACAATACCTGTCGGGGCCCTAACCACGCCTGTCTTGTCTCTAACAATGCCTGCCTAGTCCTTTCCAATGCCTGCCTGGTCCCTAACGATGCCTTTCTGGTCCCTAACCACGCCTGTCTTGGCCCTAACAATGCCTGCCTGGTCCCTAACGACGCCGGTCTGGAGTCTTACCATGCCTGCCTGGTCTCTAACAATACCTGTCGGGGCCCTAACCACGCCTGTCTTGTACCTAACAATGCCTGCCTAGTCCCTTACCATGCCTGACTGTAGTCCCTTACAATGCCTGCCTTGTCCTTAACGACGCCGGTCTGGGCTCTTACCATGCCTGCCTGGTCTCTAACAATACCTGTCGGGGCCCTAACCACGCCTGTCTTGTCTCTAACAATGCCTGCCTAGTCCTTTACCATGACTGCCTGGTCCCTTACCATGCCTGACTGTAGTCCCTTACAAGGCCTGCCTGGTCCTTAACGACGGCGGTCTGGACTCTTACCATGCCTGCCTTGTCTCTAACAATGCCTGTCTGGTCCCTTCCCATGCCTGCTTGGTCCATAGCAATGCCTTTCTGGTCCCTAACAACGCCTGCCTGGTCCCTTACAATGCCCGCCTGGTCCCTTACAATGCCTGGTCCCTTAAAATGCCTGCCTGGTCCCTTACCAGGCCTGCTTGGTCCCTAACAATGCTTTTCTGGTCCCTAACCACGCCTGTCTTGGCCCTAACAATGCCTGCCTAGTCCCTTACAATGCCTGCCTGGTCCTTAACGACGCCGGTCTGGACTCTTACCATGCCTGCCTGGTCTCTAACAATGCCTGTCTGGTCCCTAACCACGCCTGTCTTGTCCCTTACCATGCCTGCCTGGTCCTTAACGACGCCGGTCTGGACTCTTACCGTGCCTGCCTGGTCTCTAACAATACCTGTCGGGGCCCTAACCACGCCTGTCTTGTCCCTAACAATGCCTGTCTGGTCCCTTACCACGTCTGTCTTGTCCCTAACAATGCCTGTCTGGTCCCTAACCACCCCTCCCTTGTCCCTAACAATGCGTGCCTAGCCCCTTACCATGCCTGTCTGGTCCTTTCCCATGCCTGCCTGGTCCCTTCCCATGCCTGCCTGGTCCCTTACATTGCCTGCCTGGTCCCTTACCATGTATGTCTGGTCCTTTACCATGCCTGTCTGGTCCTTTACCATGCCTGTCTGGTCCTTTACCATGCCTGCCTGGTCCCTTACCATGCCTGCCTGGTCCCTTACCATGTATGTCTGGTCCTTTACCATGCTTGTCTGGTCTCTTATCATGCCCTCCCATGCTGCCCCTCTGACACCCCAACCCTTATCACTCCGGCCCATTGATACACATTTAATAGATCATCGCTTTCAGTCCTCAATGCTGAATTCGTCCATTAACAACTGTCATCTGTTTACATAACGGTTCCACTAAAGTACATATATAATACCTGTTAACAGTGTTTTAACTGATTCAATCTTCTCCACCTCTTCTTACGACGTTCTGGGATGTTTATCGACCCCATGGTTGATAGACAGAATGTATTTACGTTGTGTCCTGCTACAAAACTATGCTTTGTTTACAGGTTTTGGATGTATCTCCTTGAAGTAACAAGTATGTGGAGAAGTGTGAGGTCTTAAAACAAGTATTTTGCTGTCAAAACGCTGTACTGGTTTATATCCTAGGAATCTTTGCGGATGTGTTTCCTCATCATATTAGTAATTTTTGTTAAACAAGTTTTTATGATAATTTATCGTATTTACAAAAACATGACTTTTTATTTCAATGAATACTAAAGACTTAAATCAATATATACTTCGGTATATAATGATACAATACCAGTAGTGATTATATGGGTAAATAGTCCCCAGCAGTCGTAATAGTAGAATGTTATAGCATATTGACATAACACTGAGAGTCTCTTACCATCACCAGGTGAGAGAGCGTATACATGCCTGGGAGAAGAAGGGTAGCCCAGTGGCCGGAATGATCGTGGAGCCGATCCAGTCGGAGGGAGGGGACAATCATGCCTCTCCCTACTTTTTCCAGGAACTTCAGGACATTGCCAAAGATGTAAGTTGGTGAAGTGCTTGTATTTATGCAAACGATAGTTCAAAGGTCAAGGACAGGTAATACGGGCGATAGTATACTGGGTGATCGAGCAGGTATATATACTGGAGATATGTGGGAGTTCACGAACTCTGTAGCAGCTCAAAGACGAATATGATTGTACATATTGACACGAGTGAGGTAAGGGATATATGTGCTTGACCGGCAAGAGGTCATACATTGGCATCTTGTATACTGCAGATCACTAGAAGGTCAAACATGAGCGTGCTTGTATATTTGTAGGTCGGTAGTACCTACGCTGATAGACTACCAACAATGACGAAATGAGATAGCACTGCTTTCGTATAGGCAAAATATTAAAGATAGGTCATCTGGCATCCGTTATGTAATTCATGGATGGCAAAAAGGACATTTTAAGGTCAAGGACATGTCAGATAGGCCTACGGGTGTAGTGAGTATAAGTATGTACTTGAGATTGGTAGATAAGAGAATTGAAGAGAGTTAAAGAATACGTGCTTGTATACTGGCGTTAACTAAGTATACGTCTATCATATTTGGTACTGTTCCTGTATGTTGTTCTTTCACAGTACGAAATTCCATTCATGGTTGATGAAGTGCAAACCGGATGTGGTGCAACGGGGAAATTCTGGGCACATGAGCACTGGAATCTAAAGGATGCTCCTGATATTGTATGCTTCAGCAAGAAAATGCTTACCGGTGGATTCTACTACAAAGATAACTTACGACCTCAAGAGGTATGTTATGTAATTTACACAATTACGTCCACAAGACGGCTAATATTTCATCTCACCTGCAGGTTATATTTCCTAATCTTAACCGCAGGTAGTAATTGCTATTTGGACAATTTTATCTGTGTATATAAGTCTTCTGTAACGTGTACAATGTACAATGTTTATCATTGTTATTTGTGTCTATTACATTTTAGGGTTACAGGATCTTCAACACATGGGTAGGCGACCCTTCCAAGATGGTCTTTTTGGAGGAAGTCGTAAATCTAATAAAAGAGGAAGGGCTTTTGGGGCAGGTTAAAGACACCGGGTCTCACCTTATCAACGGGTTGTACGACATGCAGGTATATCTCCACTTCTGCCTTAAAGTATACTCCATATATACAATCATAGATACTACAGAAAAAAATGTTTCGCAAATAGATATATATTTGACAACTTGTCATCAGAAGTTTAACAACGATGGTTTCAATCCATTCAATCAACACATTTATTTATTTAACACAGAACAAGTACCCCGGGATACTTAGCAGGGCTCGGGGAGTGGGGACGTTTTGCTCCATAGATTTCAAGGACGCTGCTACACGGGATAAAATTCTGAACGAACTCCGACATAAAGGTAAACAATTTCATAGGCAAATGGAACATTAAATTGATGGTAAAAGTTTTGGGTACTACTGTGAGACCCAATGTTTCTTCTAAACAACTTATATTGATGCTACTTGACACCTACGCCTATAAAACCATATCAATAATAAATCATGTATGTATAAAAACAAAATCCTCGCTTGGATGGAAATTACGCAAGTAAAGGTCAAAAACGGCTGTTTTTATCCAATTCGTTTTCAGGTAGTAATGTTCAGACAACTGCATGACTATTGTTTGAACATTGTCCAGCAGTATAATAAACATTTACAATATGTCTCGGTGATATTTTGTAAAATATAATATGTACTATTATCTTTTAGGTATTCACCTCGGTGCATGTGGAAACCTTTCAATCCGATTTCGGCCAACTCTCCTCTTAACTAGGAATCACGTGGATATCTTCATGGACGCCTTCAATTCGATTATAGCTGAGCTAAAGTCCTAAGCTATTGTTAGTATGGACTTCCATTAGAGAACATAGGACAGTAGCATGGTATCGACTTGACGATTCGTGCTGGACAGTGCTGATATGTTTGGCCGTGACTGACCTGGGAGACGGTATGTGACAGAGAGGAGACTAATGTGTAGTCCAATAGTGACATTTTATGATAGAGAGATAATACTTTGTCTCATCTTGAACATTTGAATTCGGCAATATTGTTTTTAAGTTTATATATATTGTGATTCCCACTGCAGGCAAAACACAAGAGAGTTCCACCGTAATTGTGCACAAATAAAGTTACTTCCCCTAAATATTATTTAGGATATAATTGTAACTACCGTTGGCCAAGCATTTCAGTCAATAAGGGAGACTATTTCGTGTTCGATGGTCCAGGTTTCGAGTCCCAATCAGACACATTTTTTTGTTATCTATTTCTTTTCATTACGCATATATGAAGTATCATTTCTGGAAAACCTGTCCAACGCGCTCTCAAATTTTTAATGATAATATTAATGCAGCCTTTCTTTTATCATTGAAAATAACAAATATTATTCTCTTTTATGCAGTATTTTTGTTAGTTTTACCTGTTTTCATGTGTTTTATATAAAACATTGTTTGATCGTTTTATCAAACAATGTAAGTCCCAATCATAACAAAATGTCCGTAGAAAGTTCTACATGATGTGGGATGTTTTGCCGAATGGTAATAGTAATCATGCCAAAAAAAAAAAAAGTCTTATAGTTACAGTTTTTGGCTGTGTTATGGGATACTCAAAATGACCCCGATACTACCTTGTTAATAGTGTACTAGATTAGGTGTACTAGATCAGGAAACTCAATATCACATATCGCTGTGTTTAAATTGTGTATGTCGTTTCTTTTACCATGTTTTACAACGATAATTGAAGCTGAATGTATTCATATGTAATAGAATTATGTTATATTGTTGGAAAGTGAAAATTAAAACATGTCACAAGGTGTTCATAATGTTAATAAGAAATGGTGCAAGTATTTCCTACGTAATGGTATGTTGAGTTGAATTCTGTTGTATTTATATGATGTACAGCTACGTCTATTGCTAAATGATTGGCTTGCCATACATAAGTGAAGGTTATAATGAAATAACTCATAACTTCTAAATGACCTAATCATATGTGTGGCTTTTTTTTGTCTTAACCAGCACCGCAGGAACTCGGTTTGAACAATGAAAGTAATTTCCGAATTTAAATACATCCGATTTGATATAATATTATCGAGACAGCCAAAGTAAATAAATGTGGTATCAAATTTCTCCTTGCTTAAAAATGTGCTATCAGCTTTTTGCTTGTGGGTTTAAGTAGGTTAAGCATACAAATAAAACACTGCAGTCACCTGTTCACCGTTTTAGTTTACACTTGAAAAGTTCAATGAAGTTAGTGGCTACATACAATTCAAATATAAACCACTTCCAAAGAGTCAAAACATATATACTCGTCACATCTATACTATCAGAACAGTGGAAATACTTAAAAGTGGAAACTGCGTATTTTCTTCTTAAATGTTATGCAGTTAGATAATTCCTATAGTTTAAAATACGTAAACACTTACAAACCACTGTTTAAGTTTCTATACACTTATGGTTTTCATTTAATAATTTAAATTCGGTATCTTCTCTTATATAATTGTTTTTATTATACCTCTACTTTATTTAGTCTATATAAAAGTAATTGGTTAAATCGAATATATTCCCACTTTTGCCTGACTGTGTTTTAGTCCTGTGTGTTAGTCTGGGAACTAAAACACACCTACACTTGGGTGTTTCCGCCGAGCCAATCAGACGAGAGGTGGGCGGAGCTTGTAACCGAACTCGGAAGCGACGTGCGAAGAGCATGCTACCGAACTCGGAAGCATTTGGCTCCACTGCCATCAAAGGGATAGTTGGGACGTGAAGCTATACAGCTTATGATTTACAAATATTTTCTAGTTAAAACTATCTCTCCAGTGTGTATCGTTATATTAAAACGGTTAAAGTATGGGGTTGAGGGATGCATAGCAAGTTTCTGGTGTCCCGAGACCAGGTTTATTTCCCGAGGCTTCGCCTCGGGAAATAAACCTGGTCTCGGGACACCAGAAACTTGCTATATCCCTCAACCCCATACTTTAACTGTATAATAAAAAATACATTGACTATCAAACAACACTGCCGTTTTTCTCCTTATCGTGTCCCCTTGACACGCCGTAAGAACCGAAACTGCTAAATTACATTTTATCTGTTTCACTTCCAAACAGAGGCATGTGTTTTACCGGGCGTGTTCATTATATTCCCTTGCCAAATAAATAGTTTATTAACTCCATTTTGCTTATGTACCATATCAACTGCATTGTAGTTTGTTTTGTATCGCAATAAATATCATATACCTATTGTCGTTCTTCTGGTATTCTTTTTGGATTCAGTTTCCAATGTGCTTAATGAGGATTGAAACATGGACTATTATATGCCATTATACCACCCATGTTGTGGAGCTATCGGATATGAGATGAACTTTTTTGAAATGCATCATTTACAAAAAAGGGAAAGTGTGACAATAAAATTACCATTCTACATGGTACTGACGTTATATATGAAGATATCCAGTAATGTAAAAATGTTAAAACGTCTATCTACAAAGTCTGCCTTCTCTACTAAAAACCTCGGAAGTTCGCAGCAGCACCACAAGTAACCAGCACCAACAATATCTGATGCAAAACTGCATATCATCTAGCAGCAGGTGTTAAGGTAAACTCCAATAACATCATTATATGACATTAATAATTTGCTGAACGAAGCAATTTGTAATATGTCAAATCAATCATTTCATTTTAACGTATTGTTTTTTTTCAATGTTCTTTGTTTAGTTGAATAAGCCAATGAGGTCGAGGTGGATTTGCGTTCGCTAATGTAAATGGGCATAGCTATGATGTCATCGTATTATCACATTATTAAACAAATATATTCTACAGGAAAACGATGTGCCTTTATGTCTCTTATAAAGCTGGTCGATACCAATACTACCTTAAAATAAATACTGTTTATTAATGGTTTGAAGCTTCAGAGCAAAGTGTGAGTTAATATTAGATATAACCGAAGCAATCTAATTTGTTATATACAGCTGCATCATGCATTAAATAAGTCTGAATTAAATCTGTATTATTTATATACGTTGATATCTTCATTTGCATCAGCTATGCGAACGGTGTATATTGTGTTAGTATGCATGTTAGAAGCCTGTACACTGATCCATTCTTGCATTATTGATTGTGATTTATCTAAGGACTTGGACAATATACAATGTACTAAACGAATACCAGGAATATTTCTATTTATACATCAATTAGCATATAAAATGATAAACTGAATATGTATCTGCAGTATATAGAGTATTCCTAGGTAAAGGGCGAGCTTTTACCGGAGCTTAACTTATGGAATGACACATATTGTGTTTTTCCATACTTTCTTGACTTTTTATAGTAGATCAATATACATTTAATGCCCTTGTGGTAGGCTAGTGCCAGGGCAGTAAGTGTTTTATTATACCGAAGTAGGACATTAACCCAACAGTGAAGATGAAACCGCGCCATTGTTGTCGCCGACTCAGATAAATGAAATGAGAGGCGTTAGAGGAATATGATGTTTTCTGTCTCTGTCATGTGACCTTTGTTATACGGTAAGATATACTGGTATATAGACGATGTATGGGTTATTTGAGTACCATGTTGTTATAGGCGTTTATTCTGAAAATAAATTTAGAATCAATTTGTCACATATCATGCCGAGAAATAGATTACACCTGCCTGGTGTTAACACAAGTATAGTAATTTCTAGGCCATCACGAACCAGCAATACATTATTTCATGTACACAACTTTGAATTCATGAGACATGCAATTTGTAAAATTTCTAAGAAATATGCCTTCATAGACAGATAAAATCTAGACCCACAAGTTATTGTTCTGACCTTATGATAGAACACCATCCTAGTTGCAAATCACTTTTTTCCAAAATTATTCGTACATCTATTTACAAAAAAATCAACACTAAAATATATATTTGAATATAAAAATTACAATATTATGGTTGTTCCAAGTTCCATGACATGCATTATCAAATGATTTACCATAGTATTTTTTCAACAGAACAAGTATGACATCTACACAAACTAATATTGACTTCAACAGCTCTGATACGAAGGTATTTTATACCCGTTTATAGCTCAACAATTTATTACAAAAACTGTACTAAATTTGTAAATGGCTGGTACACTGTAATACGGTATAGTTGGAGTAGCAATGGGATAGACATAAAGGAAAAGACCGTATAAGAAACATGATTAATATCACCAGTTAATTATCGTAAGTGAAAACAGAAATTGTGCAATTCATTTGAAATCACCTTACTTCAGTCAGTGTTGAACTACACTAAAACCTCATACTAAAGATGCCAGGAAACTTAACATGATATTTGGTCACCAGATATTGTAACAAATGAAGTTATTTCCTTTTTCTTTGAAAAATTGTCAGAAGAAAATGGATATAGGTTATTTAATTATAACTTTCTTTGTACCTTTTAGAACGTCAACCTAGTGACATTCACTTTAAAATGTTTAGTTTAAACTTTTCTGTGAATTTTGTTTTGTATCCGATAATATTGTTTGTGCATGTATATGACCAAATTTACATCACATTCATATGAATTGGTACATCAACAAAACAGCCGACTTACGTTGTCACGGAAACAGGAAAAGTTCATATCGAGGAGGAGCCTGTTAGCACATGTACACCACTAAGGTGCGTAATTACTGATGCAATCATTACGGACTGTGGAAAAGAAGTACTAGAAGCAGCCAATCAACATCGCAGGTATATAAAGCATGAAACGTGTGACATGAAATTCGTAGATTAGCTTCATAGCAAATGTGTCTCCATTGATAATGTGTTTTTTTTTTTTAAATCTTGTCGGAGCCCGACTCGCCCCACCCCTAGATTACCAATAAAATGACCAACGAACTTTAAACTCGTGCTTGTTGTAATTCTGATGAGCTACGGCTTTATATTGAATTTGTTCAACTTGGTATCCACAACATAATACAGACTCAGATAGTATGTATTGATTCACAAGTATGCTGTTAGTCACGTAAAAGGCAAATATAAAATGTGATTCCACACTTCCACAGTCTGTTATCTTCAAACAAAAGGACAGGTAATTATTAAAGGTCGCATTCCATAGGTCATTTTCTGACATTATACAGGTACTGCATAAGAATCCCGTTCTCCTGCATGAGATTGATCTGAAATATCATAATTTTGTAAATAACTGTCCTGCTAATGTTCGTTACTCACCAATTCTCAAAGGATGTGTTCCAGACCCAATATTAGAGAATTTCGAATTGATTTTTTGTTGAAGTAATTTGATTGTTATCACGGGAAAAAAATCCTTCGAAGAATCCCCTCATTTCAGTAGGCAAACTAATGATGCCACCAAATGATGTATCGGTGTCTTACAACGTGTTGGGCACACACACGCACTGTGTAGTTTTTTTCAGAATTTGATTATTTTCTGAAATTATGTGATTTAAACAAAATGTTGACATCTGTATTTGATAGTGTACCACAATACATGCGACTGTGGATTATTTTTGTCGTTTTCTCATAATCTATTCCAAATCTATATTTCACGTATCACTGCTCTTCATGACAAGCAAGGAAAATGGCATTGTTAGAAGTATGATTCATCTGTCACGGAGGATATAGTGTATATGCCTTGTAGTACATAAATACTTAAAAAGCGGACTGAATCAATTGTGACTTGAATGTCATCACGTTTAGGCTTTGATCATTTATTGTCAAGCAAAGAAATATGTTATGTTTAAGCCAAAAACTGTATAACTACAACAGTATAACTATTATAATTATTATATGTTATTTAATATCGTGATCGTGAGTGTGTGGATATTGATACAGTGTTTGTTACTGTGCTAACGTCACGCTACCACAATCGGTACAATTTCGACGGTTTTTCAGTGTTATTTAAAAATCCAGGTCTTGTATCAGGAACGTTTTTTGATTTTGTTTACAAAGACTTCACATGGCAGGCGCGGATTTAGGGGGGCACACCCGGCCCCGGCCCCCCCCCCCTTTTGGCGGCGGACTGACCTTTTCCGGGCGGGCCCATAATGGTCTGATCGGCCAGGAATGGGAACATATTAACATTTTAAAATGCATCAAATAATGCACGGAGCTTGTATAAAAAAAATCTGGGGCTACGCCCCACACATCCCATACGGCATCCTAGCAAATATTGTGGGTTTCCGTTATCTGATATTTTTACTATATTTTCTTTATTAAAACAATATTTGTTGGCAGCGCTACGCTCGTCTACTTTGTATCTTGACCCTAAAGTTTTATTTTTTTTTATTTTACCACCTCCGCAAAACCCCAAGTTGCAACTTGCAACGCTCGGCGGAAATATTATAGCATCAGTTGCATAATTATGTTATTGACCGCTCGTTATAGATGATCTGAAAATTAATACTTTTTATTGTAACCTTCCTAACCGCCCGGGCGATATTAATCATATCGTTATACAGGAACGATAAAGGTTTTTTTCGGCTTACAATATTATGTATAATCGATTAAACATATCCATTCAATTATTTTGGTATTATATATATTGTTGGAACTGTTTAACTATCTTGTATGTACAACATAATATCTCATTGTGGTACTTATAGCTTACCATCGTGTACGTACAAGAAAGTATCTTCACACAGCATACTATTGTGTACGTAGTAATAAGTTGTACGTACCAGA